ACATGACATCTGCAATTGTATACTTCTGTCATTTCCAGTATGCTCCTGATATTGTATCTTGGTTTCATTTGCAAACAACCAACATCCTCTTCACTCTCCTCCACCACATCCGTTATTTCTCTATATAGGGAATGCAGTAGACGTGTGCACTGTCGTGTTATAGTTTTACTATACTTTCTCATCTATACAATAGTCTTAGTTGAACTTGACTGTTCGTATTGTTGTTAACTATACTAGGTAGTCCCATATTATCCCCAGTGTACAATATATGATTTGCCATACTATCCTCAGTGTACAATATATTATGATCTCCGCAAATGCTATTGTCTTCTCTTATGTATGAACTATACTACCCATCTCCGTTAATAGTACAGTCTATCACATATCATAATATTTCATTAAGTCTATCATCAACACTCCAATCTGAAACATGGTCAGATGCATATGCTATTCAGTTTAGACTCGATAGTATATCATTAGTACTCAAAACTAAAACATGGGCAGCTGACTGAAAATGTTTGTGTTCACTTACTACAATACACATTGGCCTTAACTACATATGCTCTGGCCTTAACTACATATGCTCTGGCCTCAACTACATATGTTCTATACTACGCAATTTCGTTAATAGTACAGTTAATGGAGATTGGATTATTTCGTTTCCCACCTTCTCGAAATCCACATTGTTAAATAGACTACGGTGTACATTGTTTGCTATACTATCAAAAGTATATTATAGTCAACGTTTATCAATATCTATCCTTCAGAGGGCTGATTGTTTTCTATAACCAATTACGTTTGTCAGCAGAGTGTATTTTCCGGGCCATTTCTAGTCTGAGGACACCCTTTCCATTGCCCTTCGATACAGGCATGCCATATTATGTTTTTAAGATTTATCATAGGTTTCCATTATATTCTATACCATCCATACATATAGTATATTCCGATTGTAAGATATTGTCTCTCCACATTCATGCTTGTTAACTCTACTCATGTCCAGTTTTTCCTCTAAGTGTATTGTACAGACGCATCCTATGACTCTTGCACCAACAACCAAACCCCCTCCCCCCCCCCCATTGATTAATATAGTCATCAAAGGTGGACTACCCACTTCATTTCTAAACTATAGCCGTTATATTATAGTATAGTATTTAGTACTATACACGGTTATGAATACGAACTACTTATGTTCCTTTTCCTCGCTTAATATGAGTGTTATGGTTTTAATGGTCTACTCGCCATATTCTGACGCGCCAGCGATTGAAAGGAGAAAAACGTCCAAAAATAGGTGTAATTGTCACATCCACAGTGTTATGGCTATATTCTTAATTTCTGTTTCCACTATGAATATTGGGCAAATTGCCCCTTTCTTATTATTATTGTTATTTTCTTATGAAATGTTAAATGTAATACTGTAATTTACATTTGATATACATATTAAATAATGTATAAAAACCATCAAAACTCTTCGACTCTAGTTTGTATTTTGTAGTGATTAAGATAGAATTGAATCATTGATATTCATATCCTTTTTATTGTTGTTCTTAGTTTGTCTGGCTGTACTGGTTATAAACAATATGGGTTTTAAACTTTTACTTAATATATCACTAAAAGATGGTTTAATTAAATATTATGCGGAGACAATCTTTATTGGGACACAATCTGATTTGTGATTATGAATTTGTTTGACGGCATCTCAAAGTTGATACTAATTAATTTAATTACCAATAACTAAAGATATCAAACGAATATCATGGAGATCTCAGCTACTCTACTCATCATGCGTATCTCTTACGTAAGTGCGTAAAACATTTGAACTGCCGTCCACTTCGCTAAGTTCGTGAGACTTATATAAAGTGGATATAATTAGATCTAAACAATGAGTTACTATTAATTAAACTATTTGTGATTTTCTTTATATGCTTATGAGCAGGGCCGGCCCTGGGTTAAAGCCCATAAGACAAAGGCTTTAGGCGCCAAATTATAGATATACTTTATGGGCGCCAAGATTTAAACAAATGTTACTTTAGCTTAGTGGTTTAAGTCATTCTCATTAATCTAAAGGTGGCGGGTTCGACTCCTTCTACTTGTTTACTATTTTTTCTTTTTATTCCCTATCTTTCTAACAATTTAGTCTATTCTGACACAAATATATTATTAAATAAACTATTTAATCAAGTAAGCCCTAATTTTTTTTTGTCAACTTAAACTAACTTTAGTTATATCTTTAAAATAGATATTCTTCTGGTTTTTGTTTTCTATTTTATTTTATTTTAATTCGATAAAATAGCTTTCTATAAGATATTTATTATAACAAAAGATTTAAACTATTAGTTTCTCAACTTCTACATCTTTTTAAATAGACACGAACATCATCTTTCACCTTTAATAATAATAGTATTATTTTCTATCTGATCAACTAAATGGATTACCACTGATATTAATAGAATCAATCTGACATATATATTTAGTTATTCAAAGTTCATTGAAACATCATTTTCATGAATAATATGTTATGACTTTGTATTCTTTTATTTTGGTTAACAAATTAGGATTTAATAGTATGTTACATTATTTTGATTACAAATTTTATAATGCAGTAAAAAAAATAATTATATTTAAGGGCAAAAAGAATTGTGTGCGCTTTAGGCACCAAATTAGTCCGGACCGGCACTGCTTATGAGTATCCTGTATACGTAGGAAACGATGAGGCAAAAGAAACCAAGATTTGGGGATATGTATAGTAGTGTCGTATCGTAAATTACAAAATTAATGAAGATAATTTTTATAGTTTCTCAGAATATATATTTCAATGGTCGAACAACAAACTAATATGATGATTAGAATATAGAAAGGTGGCTCCATGCATTGAATTTAAGTTTTTCTTTATGGCAATATGCTCCTTTTCAGAACAATCATCGTGATTATCATAAGCTTTTAACAAATTGTTTATGTCAAAACTAGCATTTTTATAAGTGAGCAATATTATTATTACAGTGGGTTTCCCAATTTGCTTGCATGAAATATATGGACTTTTCTTTTCTTTTTGGGGGTCAGATTAGATAACTCACTATCTCACAATAACTGTTGTTCCTTCTCAATTTTTGCAGTCCTACGTATTAAAATCACATAAACTATATCAGTAGCGAAAGTGATATTAATAGCAAGCAAAAATCACTAGCTAAGTTGGAAACAATCTTGCAGATTTTGACCTATAGAGTCCAAAAGATAGTTCCCAGTTCCCACATACCCTAGCTCCATACCATATATCTATTACATTATGCAAAGTGGAACATCGACACAACTAGAATTTAACGCAAATCACTACATGTTATATGGTCTGTCAACTTCATACTTTTCTGGATAAAATTAGGTGGTATATATTATGCAGTTGCATTGGCCTTGTTTCCAGTAGGGCTTGATGATTCATGGGATATATATTATATCCATACACAAAAAAACGCATGAAAACATGACAATCGAATAATACAAAAAGGTTTGTATTAATGAAAGGGAAACATGATAGCTGTAAGTTGGAGGTAATAAGCAAAACGTAAAGCAAACACACAACAAAAATCTTTACGGTGTGGGAGGTGAATGATGATGAATCTTACCCATAAAATCCCTTTCAAACATAACAGCAGTACGTACCTGAACTTGTTTAAACCTAAGCTACGCCTCCTTCCATGAATAAATTGCAAGATCCTCTCCGAATATGAAGTTTCATGATGAATGCATTAGATATTTCTGCATCGGCATATTTATCATGAAAATAGTTAGAAAACAGTTTTGTTTTAAAATGTATGAAAAGAGTGATCCATTGATGCACTTGAAAGGATGTGATATCTTGTTTCCATAAATAGATTTCATATCAGGTGTATATAATTCATGAGCCAGAAAATAATTTATTTGGAGCAACGAACATGTGGTATCTACAAAGAAACCTTTTAAAAAAAAATCCATAAACAAGCTCCAATACAAAATCTACGAACAAAAAGAGTAGTTGGAAAAGAGATCATACTATAAAGAAGTCTTTAGGACTAAGAGTGTTATCTTTCTTAATTATTAGTACCCCGTCGAAGGTATCAACTCCTCAACTAGCTTCTGCTGCAACCAAGCTAAGTCCAAGCATCCAAAACTATTAACCTGTAATAAACCTAGCTATATATAGTGAAAACCCTAGATTAATTGCAAATGAAATGGCGTGTTGTAACCATTAATTAAACCATACCTCGACTCTAATAGTGTGCATGAGTCTCTCATTAACTCTTGTGGTGAGAGTGCTGATGACTTCAAGCCCTAGCTCTTGAAGTGCCTCAAGCACTTTTGAGAGTGGCAAAGCCTCTGGACCCGACGAGTTGCTGCTCACCACCACTTCGAAACCACTCACGCATGGTTGCACCATCACACTCGCCGGAACCGAGTTGACTAACTCGGATGCAGTTCTTGTTAGATCCGGATGAGATTTATAACATGTTTCTCTGCTTAGCTCGTCTCTTCTTGCACTGAGTTCTTTAATCCTTGTTTCCGTGTCCTTAATAAAATTCACCGCTCCGTTTACATGATCGGAAACAGCTCTCTTCCCCTACAAAATCAAGAGATAAAGTTAAAAGAAGAAAAAGACATATTCATAACCCTAGAAGCCAAATCCCACCAAATCTTGGTTTCTTGTTTGAAAAATTAATATAAGGAAAATAAAGAAAATTTGAGAAAAAGTGAGTAAGAATGTGAACCTTGATGTATTGAAGAGGTAGGTGACCACGAAGAGAAGCAAAAAGTGTAGACATTTCTTGTCTTCTCTGGCGTTCGATGTCGCGGTGGAGAAGCTTCTTCTTCTGCTTGTTATCAACTGTTCCGTGGGGGATATCGGAGCCACCGCTGCCACCTTCACCGCCGGCTGAGCCATATGGCATATGTCCCTGGTACCCTTTCGGATTAGGATTCTGATAAGGATCCATAGTTTAAAACTTTGAGCTTATTTAAGCGATGTCAGATCTCCGTAGATTTTGTGGTTATGTCTTATAATAACTTCTTGTATTGTTTACTCGTTAGTTTATTTTTATTGAAGGATGGTGCCTTAAAGAAACAAATGGTTCTGTCTCCTTTTAATATATAAACTAGATTTTGACCCGCGCTTCGAAAGCGCGGGTTTTTGTTAGATTATAATTTTTTTTATATGAATTAGTATTTTAGAATTGATGTACATTATTATGCTAGAAATCTTATTATATCAAAATATATTTTTAGAAAAATTATGTAATTTATAAATTAGTTTATTTGAGATTTTATATGTAAATTTTTAATGTAACTCNTTTTTTTTTTCTTCTGGATATTCAAATCAAATTTTGGGTATATTTTGTTTTTCGAGTCAGATTAGGTAACATTCAAGGTTTCAGATATTTGAATATATTTTGAGTATTTATTTGTGGTTTGAAGTATTTTTCAAATATTTTTTAATATTTTTCGGGTTATTGGTACTTTTGAATCCTAAATATTCAAGCCTACCCGCTACATATTTGGAAATTAGAAATTACCACACTGGAAATACATAGAAATTAGATTTTTTCATGAAAATATTGAAAGTATAAGTTACGATCTTTCATGAGTCTAGATATCTTTTTAAACAAAATTAATATTTTAAAATAGTTTCTCTAGAATAATAAATCATTAATTTTATAACTTGTTTGTATAAATATCCCCAAACATTAAAATACTATGATAATAAATCGGTTTTTGTATTATTACCATATACTATGTTATAGATAGGTTTACTCTAAAAATAATAATATATTTGATTTTAAACATATTTATCGTGAATGGAGATGTTCAATATATTTTATACTCTCCATTTATCAAACATCAGCTATGAAAATTAATCAATGGAAAGGATAGAGGGTATTGTTGCATAGTTGGTGGCTCAAGCAAATGATATAGTTTTTGTATAGTGGATGAAATAAATCACGTATTATGAAATTATATGGTATAAGGTTATAGAAATGTATTGTGGAAAAATAAAAATATTGACTGATAAGAATAATGTATAATAAATAAGAATATTGACTAATTTATTGTTAGAGAAATATAAGGTAAGTTATATGATATAATGTTATTGTATAGTATTGTTAGAGAAATATAAGGGAAGATAAAAAAATGTTAATCTAATGAAAGGGTCCAAACAACTTTTTTAAGTAGATTTATTTAGACTCCTTCTCTTTTAATAGTATAGATNAGAATAATGTATAATAAATAAGAATATTGACTAATTTATTGTTAGAGAAATATAAGGTAAGTTATATGATATAATGTTATTGTATAGTATTGTTAGAGAAATATAAGGGAAGATAAAAAAATGTTAATCTAATGAAAGGGTCCAAACAACTTTTTTAAGTAGATTTATTTAGACTCCTTCTCTTTTAATAGTATAGATACTCATGAGGAAGACCAAATAATGCAGCTTGTGGAATACCTTTTCAACATAAATATTTTTCTGAGAAATTCGGTTTTTGGTTTAATTTTTTTCTTTTTGAGATGCGTCGGCATTGAGTCCTTGGCCTTGAAAAAACATTTTTTATTGATTGAGTTGGTAAAGTGTTTTACTGCCTTAAGAAGTAGGCATCAATAGTGTGATTTTTTTTTTCTCATTCATTATCCTAAAAAACTAACTTTGATGCCTAGTTCTCAAGGCAGACAACTTTGATACTGTTGTACTATAAGAAAATTGAATTTGGTAGTGATCCAATGTCAATATTATTACAAACCACTAAGCTACATATTTTGGTTAAATGCAAAAAGTTAAATTTTTGCACAAAGACCTAACCATTTATTAATGAGTTCTCTATTTAAATTGTGTTACAATAGAAACTATTATTATACTGATATGGTACACAAGAAAGACCAGCTATAGAAGTGAGACAGGAGATAAAATGTTAATGACATAAATCAGTAAGAAACAACTATATCAAAATTCCAAACTATGGTTTATAATAATAAACTAAATGTCATATTATTAGTTGTTGTGTATTTTTAAAATTTGGTCAGGTTATACTGTAAGACAAAACTACACATTTTAAGCGAATTCATCCTTTTTGCCATCAAATATCTATGTTAAAAATTGTACATATTAATTTCAAATCGACCAAAGTATATATAAAAGTGAGAATGTGTCCCTGCCCACATTACCCTTAAGATTAAGAATTTATGATCTCACTCACACATTTGCTGGGAGAAATTGAAGAATTCATCTATTTAACATCTGGGGACGTGGAACAAAAACCGTGTTCTAAGAGCAACCACGTTGTATGGAGTATCTCACACTCACATGTGATTTCTAGACATTAACCGTGTCCTAAAGATGACATATGAAAGATAATTGATCGTCTCAGCATTTGATCTTTTAATGGTCGCCTTCGGCTATCTGCTCAGACTGCAACTACTCTTCTTATTCACATTACTTATTTAAGGCCCCATATCCACTGCGTATCAGATACATAATGTATATTTATTCTCCTTAAGAAGATACTATACAATATAAAAATACGATGATATCCTTCCAATAGTTCCCATGTCTTGCTTCTTTATATTTAAATTAAGTCTTTTGGTAAAGGTTATCCTTTCAAGGGGAAAACAAATCCTCCTCCTCTGTCACGAATCCCCTGTCACCTTTTATAGTCCACCATATTTCTATAAAATATTTGGATTTTGGAGCTTTTATTTTTTTGGATGTTTGACCAATTTATTTAATTGTGGATGTCTGTGAATGCATGCACTGTACCTTTATTGTGCTTGAATTTATTGAAAAAATTTAGCGGAATAGTGAACACGTGTGTTGTTTAATTAGGTCTTTAAAGATCGTAGTCAGAATTTTTTTTTTTTTTTTTTAGATTACTTCATTTATTTGGCATCCTTCGTACATGGTGCCGCATGTCTATGTTTTTGTTTCTTCCTAATGACGAACTTATTTTGTTTGTGAATCAAATCTATTTTTACACGTACGAGAGTCCAAGTAAATTAGTGAGAACTAGGTTAGAAAGTTTGAATAGAGTTTTTCTCACCTTTGTTTTTGGTGCGCTAGCATTCGAGGCGGGTTTTTAGAAAGCGGAAACCCTTTTGCCAAAACCTTGACTGAATATACTACTTCGTTGAAGTGCTTTAAACTACTCGCGTTTAGGTTGGCGGCCTGGTCAAGCTAGTACTGGTGAAGCGTAGCATGACTCGGTTAGAATCTTTGCATATAGGACTCAACTAAAGAGAGAGAGAGATCAAGTTTTAATTAAACAGTGGGCGTGCTGCTATTAAGAGGGAGATATATATATATATATATATATCACATTTTACTGTCATTAAGTTGACACTTCTAACTCTATCATCCTTTCTAATAAGGGCGGATACTAATTGAATATCACATTTTATTATCTATTCCGTCCAAATAATCAATTATCTGATCAAAATTAGTTTATAGCTACCTTAATATTCAGTGTCTGGATATCCAATTTTTTTTTTATATAGTATTTGATTCGATCTAAATTATAGATTTATAAAAGTGTTTGAATATCCAAATTTTTTAATATTTTAGTATTTAATTCAATCTAAATTATAGATTTATAAAAATGTAATAATAAAAAATATGTATACTTATTATATATTTTATATATAATTCTTGATATATATGCATATAATTTATCAGAGCGATTTTTTGTTTTTAAAATATTAATATTTGTGATTTACTTTAGATGAATACTGCATATAAATATTTTTTTTTTTTGATTCGTAGAATTACATATATTTAAATTTTTTGATTTGAATCAAAATGGATAGTGAATCAAATAAAAAATTATGAATATTTTGCTCGATCCTACTTTCTAAAACGGCTCGCTTGCTCTTTGTATTAATACCGTTAAGGTGGAATATGTACTAAGTTACATTTTCAAATTTCCTATTTGAACATTTTTTTAAAAAGTGCCAAAGGGTTGTCAACTGATAGTGTGATCAAGGAGTATCTGATGCACCAGCTCCGTCCCGCTGTCTTATAAAATTGGAAATTAGACGCACGTTTTTACGTATGACCAAGTCTCTCACATAAAATCAATGGTTAATTATACAAAGTTCCTGATAACACACAAAGGCCGTAGGAGTATAAGGATTAAAATAAACAAAAGAATTGTCTTTAGACTTTTCTATCGGACGGTGGCAAGGAAGAGCCGCAGTTTCTACAGTAACTACCGAATTATTCTAATTTTTGCTTTAAAAAATAGTTTGTTGTTCGGATTTTAAGTACTTGTACCTTTTTGTTTTGGTATGCAAATATGCATTGTTCTTTAAGACAATGTTTGGTTTGTTATAGTTAACCTGTGACAGATTATTGACGTCCAAACAAATTACATTACATACAATAGACTCCAGTATTTTTTTTTTTTTTTTTTTTTTTCAAAAGAAAATAAAACGTACAATAGAATCCACTAAATTATTCATATATTGACACAACAATCTTTATAGGCGTCAATATTAGAGGTGGGCACGGATCGGATATCCGAGTTTTTTTAAGGTATTTTTGATTTGCTTCGAATGTTACGGATATCTAATTTTGGTAGTTGCTTTGCTTCGAAAAAATACGGATATCCGGAAAACGGATATACGAAAATATATAGATATTTGCGGATATTTACGAATATTTACGGATATCTCATCCATTTTAATTAATACAAATAATCTTAATATTTTGCTACAAATTTGCTTTGAAAAAATATTTTTTTGCATGATATAGAAAATAAAAATGAAAAGAACTAGTGAATTTACATATTTTGTAATTTTTTAAGTTCAAGTTACAATTATAATAACACAAAATTTAAGGAAAAAAATATAATTGTCATATTTTTTTCTCTCTTTTATGTAATACTTTTATATAAGTAATAATGTGAACATAATTTTTCAAAATCATGTGCTAGAATAATAATAATATAATTTTAAACATTTAAAATTTTAAATATAATCAAGATATACATATATTTATATATTTTCGGATCGGATCGGATATCCACTTCCCAAAATTTTAATATTTGTGATTTGCTTCGATTTTAACGTATATTGAATTTTAGTATTTGCTTTGATTCGAAAGTTTACGGATATCCGGAATTTGCGGATCGAATCGAAACGAATAACGAATCAAATCAAATATAACGGATAAAATGCCCAACCCTACCTAGTCAATATATCCTGAAGTTTCCAACCTAATATTTCTTACGTTTAATTCTAAAGATAACAAAATAATAATAACTATTATTTAGAATGCTTCATTTGTTATCAGCGTATTGCCAAAATGATTTTCTCTTAAATATGCGACAACGGAACATATATAAATTCGAGCATTTCTCACCTTGATAGCAAGTCATTCCTATGTTAATGAACTTTATTTAAAATAGAAAAATAATCTTTCCCTAAAGGTAGTCACTTAATTCTGAATCACAATTGTTTATCAACTAATCGTACTCAGATATGAATTTGACTAGTTGCCTAACAAAAACGGCAAAATCAAATAGAGACACCAAAGTCAATGACTTGGCCATGTGGTTCAAAATCACAATATAGACACTACTTGTCTAATTCACCTTGAATCCCAAGGTTAACCCTGTTCAAACTAAAACACAATTTATTATTCATTTAGATGAAATTGTTTACCAAAAGTGTAAAGAAAAGTCAACAATCCTAGATTCAACTTAGCGGCATATATTTAGGGCTGGGCATTTTATCCGTTATATTTGATTCGATCCGTTATTCGTTTCGATTCGATCCGAAAATTCCGGATATCCGTAAACTTTCGAATCAAAGCAAATACTAAAATTCAATATCCGTTAAAATCGAAGCAAATCACAAATATTAAAATTTTGGAAAGCGGATATCCGATCCGATCCGTAAATATATAAATATATNATTCGATCCGTTATTCGTTTCGATTCGATCCGAAAATTCCGGATATCCGTAAACTTTCGAATCAAAGCAAATACTAAAATTCAATATCCGTTAAAATCGAAGCAAATCACAAATATTAAAATTTTGGAAAGCGGATATCCGATCCGATCCGTAAATATATAAATATATGTATATTTTGATTATATTTAAAATTTTAATTTTATAAAATTATATAATTATTATTTTAGCACATGATTTCGAACAATTCTATTCAAATTATTACTTATATAAAAGTATTACATAAAAAGAGATAAAATATTTTTGACAATTATATTTTTTTCTTAAATTTTGTGTTATTATAATTGTAACTTAAACTTTAAAAAATTACAAAATCTATAAATTCACTAGTTCTTTTAAGTTTTATTTTATATATCATGCAAAAAATATTTTTGCAAAGTAAATTTGTATCAAAATCTTAAGATTATTTGTACTAATTAAAATGGATGAGATATCCGTAAATATTCGTAAATATCCGCAAATATCTATTTATTTTCCGGATATCCGTTTTTCCGGATATCCGTATTTTTTCGAAGCAAAGCAAATACCAAAACTAGATATCCGTAACATTCGAAGCAAATCACAAATACCTTAAAAAACCCGGATATCCGATCCGTGCCCACCCCTACATATATTATAGTATTCGTACTTTTACGCACATGTTTGCTTTTCTTACTCGAGTTAGTGTTGTTGTTTCTTTTTGTTTGGTGAACCTCATTCGAAAAACACACAGAAAGCGTCTAAATTCAACTCCACAAGATCTTTTACCCTAATTTATGCACTCTTTTATGTTTTGGTTCGGTGGTGCGAACAATAACAATTAACATATATATGGTTTGTCAACGATATAGCAAACAACAGCGATAAAACTCGGTGAATGAACTAAGCTATATACTTATTCTAGGGATTGGTTTGGAACTTTGGATGTTAAAAGTCCGAATCATCCCTTAGTTTATACGTTATATAAAACAATAATAAGAAGTAGAACATATTCCTATTGTACTCGTTGGTTTAGCAATAGGAATGAGTGTTCGGTTACTCATTCGAGTTTATTCAGGTTTGCGGCTTTTAAAAGTTAAAAATTTCAATCTCATTCGAGTAGTTATAAGACTCAGTTCGGGATTCAGTTCGATAACATGTTTAGATTACTTTTAAAAATTTATATATACTTTAACTTTGCAAAATATAAAATAAAATAATATATAACATATAAATTTGAATAATGTATACGAAAATACCTATACTTAATATAATAATTGGTATGCCTTGAATATGTTTATGGAGAATTAATAGATATCTTACGTATTTTCGATGTTTTGAGATTTCTTTAACTATTATATATTTACTTTTGACTATTTATATATATTTTCAATTATTTTAGACAATTTCAAAATATCTTATATATTTGGATAATTTTGGATATTAAAATTAAAAATAAATAATATATTTAACTATATCAATATTAATCAGATATATTCGGATATCCCAAATATTTTGGTTCGGATTCGATTTGATTCTGTTAAGTAGATATCAAAGTTTTAAATCCATTCGAATATTTTACATGTTTTGATTCGGATTCGATATTAATATTTAAACTGGATTGGGTTTGTTTTTTTGAATTCGGGTTTTTAGTCCAACCCTACGAACGATCAATAAATATAATACTCAAAATTAACAGCTAAATGTTTGAATTAACAACTTGCTGCTGAAATAAACCCCAAGCTAACAACGACAAAACGTACATGGTCTTGTTACCAAAATATGATGCTAAGACCAAAATGTGTTGATAAAAACGGATGACATTGGGACAAATACTGCTTTATCAACTTATAGAGAGCAAAACAAAAGACCAACTACTAGCTCGATTGCTCTAGGAAATCTCGCAATCATGGCACGAGTTGAAGCTTCATGAGAAAATGGAAGAGAGGCTCCACACGTGATGAAGTGGTTTTTAACTTTATTTACAAGAGATAGGGTAGCGAGAAAAAAATGTTGCGTATGATTAATACAAGATGAGTTGGTAGATACCTTCACGTGTAATCAATAATACTGCAAGAGTTGAGTATAATTATATAAAGAACGAGTGATAAAGATAAAGTAATAGGTAGAGAATGATCTTTTGGTATTAGTTGGATCATATAATTGAAGCTAATGGTCGACAACAGTGGTAAACTAATGGACAGAAAGTTATCTATCTGTATATGTTATGCTAGCTGGGTCATGTATCTGAAGCTGATATGGCCAGCAAAATGATTTTTTAAAAATAGTATATACTATTTATAAACTTCACACGGAATAACCCGTCCCATTTAACTCGTCTGGCATACTGCAGTTTATATATTAAGATATATTTTTTTTTTTTTTTTTTTTATTAAGATATATTTTGGTAATTACTGAAGATTTATTTTGTTACTGATTCTCATTGAAGAATTTGTAGATAAAGAAAAAATGGTATGCCGGGTCAGCCTTAGCCTAGTGGCTAAGTGGTACCTAAGGCACCGGGGTTCGACTCCGCCTTCAGGGATTCCTGGGTGAGATTTCTCCACGCGACAAAAAAAAAGAAAGAAATAGTCTCTTTGCGACTGCCAAATAAAGAAATTTCCCTTCACTAGTCCAAGATAAAAAGGTTTTAAAATGGTGTGATCCCAACTCTTATATATTTTCCAACAAGATATATATCTTTCGTAGTTTTTTTAAGTAGGGAAATCCATTATTTCTTTTAACAATCGGCAAAACATGCACAGATACACCCAAGTAAACAGTTCAAGTGCAAAGAAACTATATACATCATTTTGGGTTCGAGAAGTTAAAAATCTACCAAGGAAACGTTTACTTCATTAGGGTCAGTGCATCCTTAAGGTCTGCAAAGTCAGCTAAAGCCAGATCGTTGACCTGCAACATGAAAGCAACTCAACTTCACATATTTTAACTCAAAAAGGACATGACATAGATATAGGAACAAAATTTAGAAAGAACGGACTTAATTTGGTCTGCACACTGTAAGAGGCAAACATTAAGTAACACAAACCAATTAACTTTGAAACATAAAAAATATAAGTGATGCATTATAAGCCTTCTTTTAGTATGAAAATGGAGCATTCAAACAGATAGCGATTCGAAAAATTAAAAAAATTTCAACAAAAATCATAACATATTGGCATATAATTTTTGTAAATAAATTCTATATATTTTGACAAAAAAAAACTAAACTTGATTAACAAACAGTCAGAAAATGTCATACTGTACATATTAATTTTAACTGCTCATCCTAAAAAGTTGAAGCATTAATATTTAAATTTTCTTCTCGCATGAATATTGCTATTTATACAATAGTTGCAAACATGCTAATAATCATGCACCAAGAACTTAATTAAGCTGCATCTAGACTACAAGAAATAGGGAAGATAGCCACATGTGCGACTATGTCTAAGGAATTGGGTTATACAACCAATTGAGACAGATTCAAGTTGTAGCTATAGCTTTGTGATTGTCTGTTATACTGGCTATCCGTGACAACATAGAATGATTAATGGATATAAACCATTTAGTCCATCAATATAGCAACGACTACAAATTGTTTCAGTTGCAGGTTTAAGTGTGATTAACATTGTTACTTCTAATATAAACTAATTCCGCATTTTACAAAAATTAATGAGTACAATAGGATGTGCCCATTATATATGAACATTGTCTCGATCAGATTATATTACATGTGGATTCGTAACAATATCTTATATGAATAGTCTAAAACCGAATGTTGATTTATAACCTTTTTAAGTTACTTGGTGAATGTTTATATTGCTATAAATTAAGTAAGCATGTACAAGAGATAGTACCTCAGCTTGTAAAGTGTGAATGATTCTGCCATTCACATTGGAGGAGGTGCAACCAAGAACACATAGACCATGTTCAGAAATCACTTGCAGCACGCTTGACAAAGGCGTAAGCAGACCGCTGAAAACGATTTCTACGCCGACCAAACACGGACGAATCACGACATGATTGGAATAATCATTCATAAATTTTTCATTTGTACTACCAAAGCTTTGTCTAGACGATAACATGAGGTCATCCCTCTTGGAACTCATGTCCTTGATGTTCCTCTGAAGATAATTTATGTAATTCACCGCCTCGTTTAACTGATCTGATGTAGAACGCTTTCCCTACAGAAGCAGAACAAGTACAAATCGAAACTTCATCAAGAAAAAAAAAGAAGAAAAAAGGGTTAATATATAATAATATTAGCTTTATATTGTTCAGGATCTTGTGATGTGAGAGTGTTACAGTTCTAGTGAATCTTTTCTAACAAAACAACAGCTCAAACTAAGAGATAAGCAAACTCTTACAGATTTAACTTGTAGATCTGTAGAAGTGAAAAATCAAAAGTGAGATTAATTAATTAACTAGGGCTTTTTGAAGAGAGAGAGACCTGGATGAACTCAAGCGGGAGAAGAGAGCGAAGAGATGCGTAAAGAGAAGCCATTTCTTGTCTCCTTTGTTTCTCAACTTCTCTATGCATTATCTTCTCCATGTTTTCTTCATTACTAACTACTCTCACCTCTTTACGACGCTTTCTTCTCTTCTCTGGAAAATCAGCCATGTAAAACCTGTATAGTTTTCTTTACGTTTAATTATTTTTTACATAAGACTTTTCCAGCTAGTAATGATGATGATGGTGATGAATTATTAGGATGATGATGAGTCAGCAGGATCTGATCTTGTCTGATTTTATGCTCGCGGAGATTTGGTCTGAGTTTCAGTCAGTGATTTGTTGTAAAGTTGGACAAAAAAATGGAGTCGGAACAAATACATTAAAATAAAGAAAGTGTTTTAGTTTATAAATTAAGGAAAAAGGTTAAGTTATTAGTAAGACGATGTATTGGAAAGAGAGGCTTGTTAGGGTAAGCAGTGACGTTTTTCTGCTTCTCTTTTTAAAAACGCCAATATGTTTCTGTCCACATTCCATTTTTACATCTATTAAGTTTATTATATTCGTCTGTCCTTTGTATGATACGATTATTTTCTTATTATATACGTGTATTCACCCGACGCACCATATATTATAGGATGCACTGCTACAGCTCTGAAGGGCCGAGGCCATATGATGGACCCCCAATTATCAGAATTATTTGAATCACTTTAAATTTTGAAGTAATTTAATTTCTTTAGTTTTTAAGAAAAAATTATAGGACATAATATACTATTTGATAAGAATTAAATACTGCATATTTCTATTATTCTCTGGTGTAGTTATTTTCTATTATCACTCGAATAGACTGGTATGTATGTATTTTGACATTTTGTGCTATTCAACATTTGGAAATCTTAGGTAGGTTGAATAATGTTAGGATATAACGCAGCAGTTTTATTTGAGAAAAGACAAGTACACTATGAATTTTGTGTTTGAGAAATGTTTATAAAGGACCTTAAATATTATACCATGATACCAAAATATATTAAAACATATTAATTCTTTTTTTTTTGTCACAGTACATATTACTTCTTTATTAATCGTATTCTATATGATATTCATGTCCAAAATATGTATCATGTCAATGAGCCAAGGTGGCCCATATATTGGCCCAATTACGTTAAAGATGTAAAAGGGCCGAATAAATAGAAACAAGAAAATAAAAAACTATAGAACTCTTTGTGGTTGTTTAAGAAAAGTAAGAAATTGAAGATGTATAAAGACGGCTCTCAAATGTGACCAGTTTAATCTGAGACATAATTTGGAAGAGGTTTTGGATTTGTAAACTGATGTGTTAGTCGGAAACGAAATTATTATATACACATGTCATGAACTAGTTTGTGCAATCAACAAAACAATCAAACAATATCTCTCTCTCTGTCCATGCGTGTAAAGAAACAAAAAAACAGACTTAGCCTGACATGTTGGAGCAGTATTATGAAACTAAATCAAAGTGTCTAACACTAACACTTAACAAACATATCGATTTCTAAGTTTGTCAATGACCATGGCTTCATTGTCACGGAACACTCACTTCTCCTTTAAGCATCCCTATAACCTCTTTCATAGACGGTCGTGAAACCGGCAATCTTTGCAGACACTGCAACGCCACTTTTATGCACAACACTGCTTGTTCTTGGTCCAAATTTTGCAACTTCTGGTCGACAAGATCAACAAGCTTCTCTTTTCTCGCCAGCTTCCTCGCCCAAGACATGAGATTCGCCCGTTGGATCTCACTCGCAGAACCAGTCATCTCCAACGGCCGCCTCCCGGAAACAAGAACTAACAACAGTACACCGTAGCTATACACATCACATTTTTCAGACACATTGTTATTATCTACGTTACAATACTCAGGCGCTGCATAGCACACAGTTCCTCTCATACTCGGCGTGCTACTTATCCCACAGCTCTTAGCCATCTCCCCACTCACCGACACAGAGTCATGGCTATTGCCACGTGCTCTTAACCCATCTAACCACCAATCTATGCTGCTACCTTTGCTGTTACTACGACGCCCATCATCACTACAGAACTCGGATTCTAATGTTTTCTTCTTCTTCTTTTTCTTAGAGACTTCTCTCCGATACTCATCTTTCCACCACTCTCTAACCATCCTCCGCTTCTTCTTCTTCTTATTCTCACTCTCTTCCTCCAACGAAAGCCACCACTCTAGTCTCTTGCTACTCTTCTTCTTACTCGACTCAGAAGAAGAAGCTGTCGTCATCCAATCAACACTGCTTGGTCTCTCCTTCTTCACCTCAGAACCAATCCACTGCATCACATACTCTTTAACTTTCCCTCTCTCCACATTACTCTCTTGCTTCCACCACCAATCTCTCCTCTCACTCTCCTTCCCCTTCTCCGGAGAAACGGAGACAACCGTCTCCGGAGATTCCAACGGTGCTGCTCTCATCTCCGGCGAAGAACCAACAACCGGCCCAAAATTAAAATCTTCATAACCAGTCGCAGTAGTGATCACACTCTCCAACTCCTCCTCCGGCCCTCCTCCACCTCCGCCGCCACCGTCAAGAGTTATCATCTCCACGTGCTCCGGCTTAACTCTAGCTAGGCCAAAGTCAGCGATCTTCGCGTTAAAGTCTTTATCCAACAGAACATTACTAGGCTTCACATCTCCATGAATCACCGGCCGTTCAAGACCGTGAAGATGCTCGATACCTTCGGCGACGTTAACCGCAACAAGAAACCTCTTACTCCACTCCATAAGCTCAGGGCACTTCCTGTGAAGCAACGCGTCCTGGAGGTTACCGTTATCCATAAGCTCGTAAACAAGAAGCAAACGTCGTCGTTTCTTATCGTGCGAGAAGCCGATGACGGGGACCACGTGAGGCGACGAGTCAAGAAGCTTACCGGCGAAGAAGAGTTCGTTCTGGAACTCGGCTTCTCCCTGGAGAGACCCTGAGTCCATCACCTTGACGGCTACATTCTCGCCGGAGGAGAGTGTTCCCCGGAACACCGCGCCGAAGCCGCCTTGTCCGAGGCGGTTGGTGGGGGAGAAGGAGGCGGTGGCGCGGCGGAGAGTGGAGTAAGAGAACTCACGCGGCGGCGGAGGGGAGGAGGAGGCGGTGGCTCCGGCGGGAGGTGGCGGTGGACGTTTCCGGGTGAGTTTGCAGAAGCAGACGGAGAGAGTGATGAAGAGAGAGAAACATCCGCCGGCGGCGGCCGCCGTTAACGGTGGTGTTTTGTCGTGGCGGCTAGACGGCGGTGGGGATGCCGGAGACGGTGACGAGATTGGTCGTGACGGCATAGGGGATGAGTTAGACCATAAAGGGGATAATAAGAACCGAAACTTTTTATGTTTCTCCGAGGGAGTTATGATGTCTGTTTTTTTCTTTAGCTTTTCGGATTAAAATCGGAAAGAGAGAAGAAAGGGAACAGCTGTTTCGGAAAATGGAAATGTTTTTGGTATTAATCGATTTTTCCTGCATTTAATTGAAGATTAATTTAATTACAACGTGGTTTACACTTATTGGTTAAACCAAATCTTTCCATATAAAACCGAGAAACCATACAGAAAATTAAATAGGTCTAGATTTTGTTAGATTTTATGCCAAAATTTGAAGATAAAGCAAATCCATGACCAAGAAGACTAACTAGATTTGAGTTTAATTTGGTTTATTTACTTTCTTCATAAAACCAACAAACCGGGATAGAAAAATTGAACCGGGTTAGCTGTTATAGCATCATGCCAAGTTTAATGCTCTTTTGTTACGTCGCTTTTGACTGACATAAGATCATTTAAATAGTAACGTTAAATTGGAAATTGAAGAGGTATTCACGTGGGGTGGAGTGGGGAGGCCGTGGGGTAATCAAAGATCACCATGTGGAATTTGTCCAATTAGGTTAATTTAATTTAATTAATTACTACTTAACATATTCAAAACGGCACGCAACGTTTATTGTATTTGAGAAAACGGACCGACTTCTTAGAAACCACACGGAACCTGCTGTTATTATTCCGGCTTTCGTCTTAATTAGATTAAAAAAATTGTTTATTCCTAAAATCTAATTAGATCATTGTATTACGTGTGTGTATTTACTTTCTCCCTTGTTAAAAACTTAACTCGCCGGCAAAAAAAAATTTTTAAAGTCAACACTATTTTATAGTCAACTTCAAGTTGTACGAAGATAAAACACGCTTTCTTAGAAAAAGAAATTGCGTCAACTCTTAACGTATCTTTCCTTTTTATATAAAAGGAAATGTCCGTTGCTCAAAAAACATGAAAAAAAATTTAAAAGGAAATGTCCACAAGAAAGGCAAGCATTTATCAGATTGCATTCCAAAAAGGAAACTAAACTGTGATGGCACAACTAAAATCCTCTATATATAGGATTAGTAGAATTCATTTAACCCACACACAATAATCTTGAATTACAAAACTAGAAAAGCAAGAAGAAGAAAATTTCTTTTAGAGAAGATGATTCATGCTAACGAAACAGAAGCAATACCGTGCGTTGGAGGCTGTGGACTCTTTGGAACCCGAAGGAACAATAATCTCTGCTCCCTCTGCTACAAAAAGAGTGTTCTTGAGGCCACTCTCAAATTTGAACCCGAAGCAGAGCCATCAACGATTTGCCCTCCTCCTTGCCCTCCTCCTAAGAGTAGTGACGTTGCTGTACAAGAACCAGTCAAGAAACAGAGATGCAACATGTGTCAGAGGAAAGTAGGGGTGACAGGATTCACCTGCAGATGCGGACACATGTTTTGTGGGTCACATCGGTATCCCGAGGAGCATTTGTGTCCTTTTGATTACAAACAATCTGGACGAGACGCATTGGCCAAGCAGTTGCCTTTGATCAGAGCAGATAAGATTAATAGGTTTTAGTCTTAGATCTTGAATACAATTTTGATGTCTTTTAAAATCTTTATATGATTAATAAACACTTCTTTTTTCACTTATCATAATGATCCAACAAGAAGGCTGAACTAAAGTTGTCTATATATCATTTAAGTAGCAGGAAAAATCTCATAAAATAGACAAAACGTAAAAAAAACAAGTATACTTCATCATATGAGACTTCAGATGTAAATATTCACTCACCAAACGAGTGAATAACAATGAGTTTTAGTAGAAAAAAGACATATCAGGGAAGTAATAGCAACTGAATTATAATTTGGAGTTGTGAATTGTGATAAGATGCAGAGTAGCTGTATAATGCAAAAATTAAATAAAACTTAATAACAACCAAGTACAGATAGAAAATGCTAAAAAGATGGCCTGTGTCTAGAACTTGATAAGAGTGAGACTGGTTTGTCTTGAATCAGGAGTTTCTTTTTGCTACTCCATGTACAGTTACAGAAGCTTTTGACTGATTGAAACACTATTGACTTTGCTTCTTAAAGCTCAAATCGACATCTTCATTCATCTGAAACCAAACCAAACACATCAACACATGCCAACATAGCGTAAGCCATTCTTCAGGTTTCAAAACTTACAGACTCAGTAACTTGTTTGGCTAAATCTTCGTTAAACCCAAGCGCCTCTAAGATCTGGCGGCCTGCTGAGTCCTTTTGAGACCAAACCCCAAGAAGTAAGTAGGCAGTGGTTAGTTCCCCATCCACACCTGTGATCAACCAGTTTAAGTTGATTGTAAACAAGCACATGGGTTAAGAATGATTAAGATGGTGGTGTTAAAGCACACCAGATTTTTTCTTCTCCTCAACAGCCCAGTCAACGGCCTTGCGAGCAGGTTCAGTTAGAGGAGGATGCTCAGGGCTGAAGAAGTACATATCTGATTTCCCTAGCAGCCTTATAATCTCATCTCGCACTTTAAAAAGTGTGATTCCGTTCGCTCTCAGGAACTTAGCAACTGTGCTAGTACCTGTAACGAAATTCCGGTAACAACAAGGATAACAAACGTCAGTTAAACAAATAATCCAAAACGACTTAACATCACAATCTTTCTAACAACAGAAAGAATGGTTATGAGAAGAGTTAAACAATACAAAAACACAAGAAACGAAAACTGTATATCAGGTGATCCTACTCAATTCTCTCATCTCCCTTGTTTTTAAGCACGATCAAACAACATAACCATTAAAACTGAGGTTATTTTGTGGTTAAGAAACTGAAGGATAGAAGCAAAACCTCATCCTACATGTATTTTGTTATATATGAACAAACAAGCCTATGCTCATAATCATTTAAGCGAGTGAACTCAAGCACAACGCGACCCAAAGAGCTCTTCTTATACGAATCTCGAAATTTAAAACCTTTCAATCTACAGTTGAATTACTGACTCTCCTCTGTTAACCAGCATAAGGCACTCCACAACTTAAGGTACAGCTATAGACAGAAGGACAGAAGCAAAATATCATACGAGATGAACAAACAACAAACGATAATAAGCCTTATACATATGCTTGGACTCAGTGAAGTCCACATGAGCTGAAGCACACAACGAGGATGAGAAATCTTCACTAGCATTGTTACTAACGATTCATCAAAAATGTAAGCTTTCAACCACAACAATGATGCATATCCACCAAGAGACCACAATCTAAACTAGAAGACTCAACAAAATAAAAAGCTGAAGAAGCATAAAGCAAACATAGGTCTGCGGAATACACAAACCTTCGACTAAAATACCCATGAGAATGGCTTCGGACCCAGTAGTTGGATACTTGAGCTTCCTAGCCTCCAATTCCCCCATCGCCAGTGATTTTATAGCTCTCGCCGACCATCTAACATCCAAAACGGATAAGCCTCAACAATCTAAACCATAAAATCTCTCTAATTACAAATATTTCCGCTTGAGACTCACTTTGGGATCTTGTCCGAAGAACCATTCTCCGGCTCCCTGCAAAACAAAAATCCAACACAACAACCCTAAGTTTCGTGAACAAAATAATACATAGAAAATATGATACAGTTGTCAAATAAAATAAAATAAAAACTCACGCAGTTGGGACGCTAAAGACAGTGCTGGCCGATGTCAAGCACCGGTGCTTGGAGACGAAGCAGCGCCGCGACGGTTGTGTCACAATAAGCTTCTTACCTAACAGAGAAGAAGGAGCAATCGATAGAGATGCACTCCGAGTCGAAACAAAGATCCGAGGATTCGAATTTGAGACCGTCAAAGGGATAAAGGAAAGCGTGTACGACGACGCCATTCTCACTCCGACAACAAGACAAAAGCCTTTGGCTTTGGGATGAACTTAAGCTAGGATTATTCCTCAGCTACTTGTGTCTTCTTTGCACATAAACCCCCAAATTTATACATAATTGTTATTTCTAGTCCAATTCATTTTTGACATTCCAAATAAAACCACCTACTTTTATTAATATTCAATTTTACCCTGTAAGTAATGAAATAAAAAAAAAAGACACAAGCGAACCAAATTAAAAAAAAAAAGAGTATATAATACTAACCTTCACCTCCGTGTACAAATACAAATGAATATAGGGTTTATTTGATCCTCTGGGAAGAAAACTTAAACCTAATTTGGATTCGGAACAAAACTCTTCTAATTATTCACATCGTGAATTATTCCCTCTCCAAAATAAACGTGAGTTTTGCTGTGATCATAAGTTGTTTTATATTTCTTTTCTTGTACTATGGTTTATGAGCCTCTTTAGGTTTCCCCAATCTGCAGGTAGACTAGTTTCTTACATGGACAACATCAGTGATCTTCCGGATGATTTGCTCTTGCAAATATTGTCACTCAACACTACAAAGCTTGTTAAATACGACGATAGGAATCACAGGGGTGACTACAAGCTCTTCACGCAGTTTGTTCACGGGTCTTTATTATCAAACAAGGCACCAGTTCTAGAACATTTTCATCTGAGTCTCGGCCCTAACTGTTCCTCTGTAGATATTGGAATATGGATTAGTTTTGCAGTTAGTCACCATGTGCGTGAGCTGCATATTGATATACGTTCGTCCAGTCACGATCCTATTACTTTGCCGAGTAGTGTATATACCTCTGAAACACTTCAGAGACTCACACTTATAAAGTGCGTTTCTCTTGATGTTCCTGTACACGTTCGTCTCCCGTCTCTCAAAACTCTGAGCCTTAAGTTTGTCACTTACGCGGACAACAAGTCTCTACCAAGATTTTTATCCGGTTGTCCAAATCTTGAAGAAAAGAATGCTACTTTTTTAAAGACAGCAACATTCTCTCCAACATCAACTCACTTGGGAGAGAAGAACCGAATGCTCACGGAGTTGGCATCTGTAGCTACAGCTTCTGATTCGTGTCAGATTCATTTTAACTGAAAAGTCATAACACATTTTAATGTTCTTGATCTCTCTATTATACAACTTTCTATTTTCTTAAAATACGACAAAATAATAAATATATATTAAGGAGAATACATTATACATATATTTGGGCATGTTGTGTTTCATAGCGATAATCATGTTGATGAGTTGTAATGGATTAAGATAGATTCAGTCTCAGTTACCAAAAGCTTCGGACCAGAATCTATCCTGAGACTGACTCGGTCTAGAGATGAGATCATCGGACCCCAACGAACCAAAATCCAAAGTCTGCCTTTCAAATTGAATCACAGATTTTTATTAATATTCAAATTTACCCCGTAAGTAATGAAATAAAAAGGGGAGAAGACACAAGCGAACCAAGTATATAGTGCAACGAGTAGGGTCCTAATACTAACCTTAGCCGTGGTGGTGGGAGATGTGGTACAAATCTACAAGTGAAGACTTCATAGTTGGTTTATTTCACTAATCAAGAATCAGATAGTGGTGGAGATGTGGTACAAATCTACAAGTGAAGACTTCATAGTTGGTTTATTTCACTAATCAAGAATCAGATAGTGGTGGAGATGTGGTACAAATCTGCAAGTGAGACTTCATAGTTGGTTTATATCACTAATCAAAAATCAGATTAGTACGTGTAAAATCATGTAGTATTCTCTCGCTTGAGTTAATAAGATGGCCAGTCTCTCACTTTCTTGCTCTCAAAGTCTCTTCCCTGTAGATGGGTCAATAGGCAGATCAGTCCAACCGAGTTTTAAATTTTAATTTAATTATAAATTAAGTAACTATATATATAATGTATAACTGTAAAATATTTTTATTAAACTTTATATCATGGTTAGAATCTAATAATTAAATGATTTTTTAAAAAAAAAATTATGTAAAAAATAATTTAAACTATCTTATTTAAATATATATTAAAAATAATTTTTATATGAATTTTTTTTTCAAAATTTGCAATTTTGTTTTTGTAAAAATTTGAATCATTTGATAAATGAGTTTTAGTATCAAATCGGATCACCGATTTTAACGATTTTAACTGTTTTTTTACCGGTTTAACTCAAATCTAATTCTTAAAACATTTTAGAACTGGTTAGAAAAGTAAGAGCACCTCAATTGAGGCTTTACCGGGGGAGTTCACACGGTAATCAAGAAAAAAAATAATAACAAAAACCTATGAATCTCTCTCTCCTAAAGCTCTCTCAGGTGAACCTCTCTCTCCTAAGATTCAACACGTGACGGTCTGGAATTAGTCTAGATTTTTTTTTTCTTTTTACGAAAAAAAACAAAAAGAGAAAAAATATTAATAATAAAAAATTAGAAAGATGAACCCCAAGAGGGGATTCATTGATGGGGATGCTCTAAGTCATGGTCCGATCAGCCAGTCTAGTCCGATTTTGAAAACACTCACGATATAAGATTCTATTATGAGAAAGTCTAGCATGTTTTAATTTAATTGAGATGTTATTCGTTGAGTCATCTCCTATGTATTAATTGTGAAATATTTAAAAATTTAAATTTTAAGTTTGTATTAATTAAAATAGAGTCTTGTGTAGGTGTCTCTAATTAAAATGTCAACTGACCTTGCGTGGCATCGTAACAAGCGATTTAATAATGTGTAAGGCGAAAATCAATTAGTTAGGGAAACTTATATTAACCTAAACATAATAGTATATGATAAGAAGTAACAATAAACCAAACTCGAGACCATATGATACTATTAATTTAATATTTTTTTTGCATAAATACTAAATATAATTGCCTTGAGGCAGAAAAGAACGGGAAAATATGAAAAAAGAATATTTAAGATGCAAAAAATTTGTCACCAAGTAGGGCTGTTCAATACGATAATACTGAACCATACCGAACCGAACCAAAATAGACAATATGGTTTGGATTTGGTATATACCATATAAATCAAATAGATATGATTTTATAAAAACCGTAAGATTTGGATATGGTTAGGTTTATAACCGATTAAACCGAATAAACCTAAAAAAACCGATCAAAGAAAAATATATAAATATATACATTATATAACCATTTATTTTCTTGGAATAGTCTTTTTTTTTTTTACTTTTTTATTCCTTGTGAAGATATATCTTAATAATTTTATTTTATTTTCTTCAACTATTATCTAAATTTGATTTGATTTTTCATGTTGTAAGAAATTGTGAAATTATATTGTACCATATAATGTATTTGAAAGAACAAAGAGAAAATAAGAAAAGCTGTACAAAACTGAATCGTTGGTCGTTTTGTTTGTAGTTAATTTCACATTTTTATATTTATGAACACCTAGGTTTATTTTAATAAATGATAGTTTTGACAATATGTTTTTTTAAAAAAAATTATATAATAAGAAACCAAATCAAATAATAATGTTATTTGATATAAAATCGAATAAACCGAAAACTGGTAGTATAAATACCGAACCAAACTAAATTAAATATGGTTCCAATATGATAGCTAATTTTTATAAACCGAATAAGCAAAAACCGAAACCAGACCGAACACCAGATTGAACATGCTTATCACCAAGTCAAGAACTGATAGTATTTTCCGGGAGTAAGAAAAATTATAATAGATGCAAATTGTATTAGTTAATAGAAATTATAGATCATGTTAACCTATAAGTTAATCCTATATAAATGGTACGGTCAGTCTAACTCCTTAGGTCTAGAGGTGGACACAGAACAAATACCCGGCAAAATTTTGGATACTTGATATTCGTCTTGATTTGTTCAAATAGTTAAATTTGCTATTTGTACTTGTTTAAAACGAGCCGTACCAAGTACTTATCAAAATTTTGATTACTTGCGAGTTATTTGACTTGTTTCGTTATTTGTTCAAATACATTACTCAAATAAAAATATTTTAATTTCTTGAATTTATACTTGATTTTAAAGTACTTGACTTTCAAAATATAATAGATTTTGGATTGAAAATTAAACTAGTAAGTTTCATAATAAATATTTTGATTTTTAAATCACAAACCTCTATCAAATTTTGGTTGTAGTATCATAATGTCAACATTATATTAAGTTCTATTTATAAAAACATAAATGTTAATAATATTTTTAATGAATATTAAATATAATTATTATTATATATGTAAAAGCAAGTAACAAGTAAACGAGTCAAGTAGTTATGAAAGTAATGAGATTTGATACTTGACTTATATTTGCAAGTAAATAGATATTTGATACCCGATTTGTCGATAGCAAGCATTTGCTTTTTTAAGTCGAGTACGGGGAAATTAGCGAATACAAATCGAGTACCAAGTAATTATGTCCAGCCCTATTTAGGTCCATCATCTATTTCTTATCGTTTTGATCCAATTTATTTAAAAATGGTTCGGCCCAACTGATTATATAGTAATCAAAACACATACGTGTATAAATTCACACCGCGTAAGGTGCATATCTTATCTTATCTTATTATTGTTCTTATCCTATTATTGTTGTAATCTAGGATTTCTTGGATCCTGTAATCTTCCTCTGCTGAGAAAACTTGACTTAATTTGGATTTGGATCAAAACTCTTCTCACTATTCAGATAGTGAATTATCTCCTCTCCTCCTCTCCTTGGACTATCTCCAAACAAACAAACAAACAACTGTGAGTTTTGTTGTGATCATAACTGATGTTGTTTTCTTTTATTTGTCTTTTCTCCATTATGGTTTATTAACCCCTTTAGGTTTCTTCAATCTGCAGGCTCTAACGGTAGGCAAGTGACTACTAGTTTTCTACATGGACAAGATCAGTGATCTTCCGGATGATTTGCTCTTGCAAATCTTGTCACTCAACCCGTCAAAAGATGTTACGGCCACAAGTTTTTTGTCCAAAACATGGAGTTCACTTTGGACTTTAGTTCCAGTACTTGGATACGACGATAGGAATCACAATGGTGACTACAAGCTTTTCACGCAGTTTGTTTACAAGTCTTTACTATCAAACAACGCCCCAGTTCTACAACACCTGCATCTGAATCTCGGCCCTGACTGTTCCTCTGTAGATATTGGACAATGGATTAACCATGCAGTTAGTCGTCATCTGCATGAGCTGCAGATTGATATACGTTCGTCCAATAATGGTCCTTTTACTTTGCCGAGTAGTCTATATACCTCTGCAACACTTCAGAGACTGACACTCATAAACTGCGTTTTTCTTGACGTTCCTGTTCACGTCCACCTCCCGTTTCTCAAAACTCTGAGCCTTAAGTTTGTCACTTACGCAAACAAAACGTCTCTACCAACGTTTTTAACCGGTTGTCCAAATCTTGAAGACTTGTTTGTGGAACATCGTTTTGAAAACTCACCAATGGATGTCAATGTTCTGGTGCCTTCCTCACAAAGGCTACATATGTCCATCAGTAATTATGTTGGGAAGTATATGCTAAAATACAGTTCTTTGAAGTGTCTTAAATTTGTTGGTATGGCAAGTAGCAAGCTCCTTCAAATTGAGAATATGCCTGAGCTGATAAAGGCAAATGTTACCTTTTGTGAAGATACCCACAAGTTTCTGAAAGCTCTGACTTCTGTCCGTCGTCTTGAGCTAAGGATAACACTTCCAGAGGTAATATATCAAACTATAGAAACACATTTAAAAATCGTCATCTCAGTTATATTACATAATGTAGTTTTTTGCATATGAACACAGGTTGTAGATCTTTCTAGTATGATCTTCCACCAGCTTGTCCATCTAATCTTGCATAAAATTGCTCAAGAAGAATGGTGGAGCTTGTCGGCCATGTAGACTTGTATACATTTGCTGAAGGTTGGTGGGATCTAAATTTACTTGTTTTATCTGGTTTAAGTTAACCCCTTCACTGGGTGGTACAAATCTTCAAGTGAGACTTCATATTTGGTTTATATCACTGATCAAGAATCAGATAAGTACTTGTAAGAACCTGTAATAATCTCTCCCTTAAAGTTTGTAAACCTTGTAACTTGCTTCTCATGCATTATCTCAGTGAACCCTTTTTTTTCACTAGCTTCCCTGGAAGAATAGGTTCTTCTTTACCCGTGCATGAACCACCTGTGTTCCAAGCACTACCTTCGTAGTGATCAGGGGACCATGTTCTTAAAATGGTCAAACCTGTGAAGTTTTGGTGTGTAGCTATAGATTTTAGGATTGTTTCTACTGAGATTACGAATAAAACCAGCTACCTTGATACAAATCACACTCTACAAGGTAATCAAAAAGTTGGAGTGATTAACAAATTAATAACAGAAAAAAGAAAACATGTAACAGCTAAGACAGGGAACTGGAGTCTCACTATCAAGAAAAATAGGATTGAAGTGAAACTACTTTTCTCATTTCAGTTCACCAAAACTGTAAAATGCCCAAACAAAGCCTACATAATCCACCTCCTAAAAGAATATATGCCAATACATCCATTCTTACAAGCTCAGCCTTCACTAATAGGTCCTAACCAACTCTAATCTTCTAACAGTCAATCTTAAAGACTTGTAACTAACCACCTCCGTAATAACCTTATCAGACACTGAAGCAATTTGCTATAGAAGTCCATAACACAACGAATACCATTCCTATATTCTTTGTTTATTGAAAACTAAGCTACCATAATTCAAAGATTTCCCCAAAAAAAACACAAGCTAGGTGTTGCAGTAGCGTAGAGGAGAGCACGAAGAAAACAGTCAACACGAGAGTGATTTCTTGGACGACTCTGTTTCAACTTTTCTCAAAGATTGTAACGTGAGGCGATTTGCTTGAGAAGTAAGTCTCAAAACTTTTATTAATCAAAAACCCCGTTGGGAAGAACACAAAAACGCTACCCCTTATATAATAATCTAAAGAGATAACACAAAATCTCCAAAGACAATCTAACTAAGATATTCCGTAAATAAAAGGAAACCTACAATAACTAAAAAGAAAGCCCAAAGCCAAAAGGAAAAACAATGACCGTGAAGGTATGCTACATCACTAGGTAAATTGACAGAGTACCTGTTTCTGTTGAAGCGTTTCAGAGCCATCACTTCGAATGTCTCCAGCCTTGGAAACATTGGTTTCACCTTCACCTGATCCAACATTAGTCTTCTCAGTCGTACTACTATCCAAAGAGACTGTATCCTCTTTCTCTTTCTTTTGCATCAAAGGTTTCTCCAAATCTGGCGATGTTATGTTTGTACTACCAACAACAACAACCGGTGAGCCTGAGCTAGAGGGCAAAGTCAGGTTCTTATCTGAGGTATATATAGATGTCGTTACTCGTGTAAAGGCCTTTGACAGGTTCTTATCCGAAAGACGACGAAGCAAGAAGCCGAAAACAAAGAAGGATGTTACTAATCCACCTAATAGCAATTGCAATTGTCGACACCTTCCGAGGAAATAATCCAGCCACAAAAAAAAATGGAAACTTTAGGAGAGGTGAGAGAACCAAACAAAGGCATGAAGTGAAGAAGAAGAACACTATGACTATGAGCAGCCATAACATACAACAAAATCGATCTTACTAAAAAAAAAAGGTACACTAGCTAGTGAATAATCTTAACCTAGAGAATCGATTTTCTAATGAAAAAAAAGCATTCCTCCTTTTGCACAAATCAATTCAGATTCAGCAGAAAAGCGTACGCATTCACCACCATATTTACAGGGAACCATAACAAAAGATTATCTCTTCACAAGAGATATCCAACATGCAACACTAACGAACCAGAAAAAAACAAATAGAAAATCTATCAACCTTGAAAATTTAGTGGTCACGCCCGAGATTATATATAAGTTTTTTTTTTTGAACACATAACTGGATATCTATAAGAGCATGTTTATCCCATAGATCCTTAATGGATTACTTAATGATTATTTAAATATATAAGTATACATTAGTGGACTTAAGAACTCTATTTAGAAACTGTTCGATTTTGTATCTTCATTGGTAGTTTCTTAATTAAAGATTTTTAAGAAAAAAAAAAATCTTTCAATACCTTAAAATTTCAATAATTCAGTTCACCAAAAACATTATTTAATTTTCAATTGTATATGCATGATGGCTTGTTCAATGCCATCAACGAACAAAGCCAAAAGATTCTCCGATTCGGCTTATCCAGAACTGTTTCTTGTATTTGTCGTGATAATTATCATGTAAGCGTGGAGATGATGAGACCAAAGGGAGGAAACGTCGTCTGGATCGCGATAGCCGTCGTCCTTGCCGGCGGGTTTTGATCGGTGACGGAAAAGACGAGAACCACGACAGAGAAGACAAGAACCACAACGGAGGATTTGTGGTGGAGGCTCGGTGTGGGTTTCGATCGTTCGTCGGTTGACAAAGAGAACAAATGAGATGAGGAGGAGAGAAGAAAAGAAAACAAAATAGAAAAAAATAATAACTTTGCCTCCTATCCTGACACGTGCCTCTAACACCTCTCTTATTACCGATCACCAAAATTCCAAATTAAGGATCGATAATCACCTTTTTCTTTTATTTTGATTTATTTAATTCACTTATTTTGCTAAGGATCCCAGTAAGGACCAGAGATAAACATGGTCTAAGTAACTTTACGAAATTACCGCTTTGTCTAAAGTCAAAGTCAAACTGTAGACGGCGCGCGTAAATTAATTATTATTTACTTCAACCTATTTGGGCCTCACTTAAACCCACAAAAGCCCAATAACCGTAACGGTTTTCGAAATTTCTCGAAACCGAATAACTTATTATAACGCGTCTGCAAAAACCCCTCCCCCTCCTTCTAGGGTTTTAGTCTCTTCTTCTTCCTCTCAGAAAGAAAAAAACAATTAGCTTTTCTCGATTCCAAGAAGCTTTATCGCCGTCGAGCCGCCGAATATGGGTTTCTGGGGTTAGTCTATACTCTCTAATCCTTCTCTGATCTCATCTTCTTCCAATTTCGATTCTGTTTCTCTAATCTCGCCGTTTCTATAATGTGCAGGACTCGAAGTGAAACCAGGGAAACCACAAGCTTACAATCCCGATGAAGAACAAAGAAAGCTTCACCTCACTCAGGTATACATATATATACTCTTCTAATTGCAGCTTCGTGTATTGATTGAGACTTAGTGTTAATGATGATTTGTTTACGCACTCAGGCAACTCTAGGAGATGGTTTAGGGAAAGAGAGTAGCGTGATTCAATGCTCAATAGGAGGAAACGCACCGGTTTACTTGTGTTCTTTGTTGCCTAACAAAACAGAGTGTTGTCCTCTGAATCTTGAATTTGGCGATGATGATGGGACTGTTGAGTTCTCTGTGACTGGTCACAGAAGCATCCATCTTTCTGGGTTCTTGGAGGCTTATGATGAGGAATGTGGGGAGGAGGAGGATGAGGAAGATGATGATGATGAGTATCCTGAACAAACGATGCTTTCTTGATTTTTTTTCTTTTGTTTTTTTTTGTGTTTTTTTAAGTTTTCGTTGCGACATTGTTAGATATGGTATCGATATTGGTGAGAGTGAGTCTGGAGAGTCTGAGTATGATGATAGTGATGAGGATGAGCTTGAGGAATTTCTTGATCACAGTCTTGATATGTATCGCCAATCTGTTGTCCCAAACAGTGGAGGTACTTTTTTCTTTCTACTCAAGTTAATCACGTTTTCAGTAGCATTTTAAAAGTGTCACTCTTGTCTTCTTATGACTACATGGTTTCATATATATATATTGATAACAGTGATATAGCTTCTCAAACTTAATTCTGTAAACGTAATACCTCCTGGTTGCAGAGCTTCTACATCTGTTCTATCTTTACTTGTAATGGTTGAACTAACTGATGGGTATTTTTGATAACAGTGATGTAGCTTTTCATACTTGTGTCTGTAAACGTAAATTTGTGTGCAAGGTCATGCCTCTTGGTTGCAGAGTTTCTTCTACATCTGTGTTGTCTTTTTTGTAGTGGTAGAATTAACTGAATGGTATTTTTTGGTAGTTGTAATTGAGGAGATTGAAGATGAGGAGAAGGCCACTGCCAAAGATGATAAGACAAAACGATCCAAGAAGAAGAGTCAAGCTAGCAAAGATGAGAAGAAGGAAGATAAGCAAATCATTGTGAAAGAGAGTGACCATGCTCCAGTTCTGGAAAGCGAAGATGAAGATGGTTTCCCTATTCCCAAAGAGAAAGCACCTGAGCCAGAGAAGAAGTCTGCTGCGAAGATGGAGTTAGTTGATGACGAACAAGGTAGCAACAAAAAACGCAAGGCCAAGGCTTCTGAGCAAGAAAGGTACCGTTCTTTTTGATCTTGACGCTTTCAGACAAGTGTACATAATACGTATCATATGTTTGGAATGTTAAGTTGTTTGTATAATTTGTTCCAGTGCAAACAAGAACAAAAAGAAGAAAAATCAGAAAGAAAAGAAGAATGAGGTTAATGCCTCGAAGGAGGAAGCAGATGAACAAGTTGAGACCGGAAAGGTGCTGGAAAAGAAGGAGGAGGCCAGCCAAAGTTCTCCAGACCAGAAAGCTCAAAATGGAGCTGTAAACAATGCCACGTAAGAAGTCTTATATTTTTTTAATATAACGCAGACATGTCATTTGTCAAATATATTAGAAATTAGAGTTAGTATTCATAATCATTATTGTTACAAAGTAAACAAGGTTTCTTTGTTTCAGACCTTTCTCTCATCCAACAATTTTCTGTGCTTTTTTTTTCTTATGGAAATGAAGGAGTGAAAGTTCCAAGACTCCAGTTGAATCTGCTGAGAAGAAGAAAAAGAAGAAGAAGAAGTCAAATGAGAAAGCTACAGAAGAGACCAAAGTCATCTCTAGTAGGACATACCCAAATGGACTCGTTGTTGAAGAGATAAAAATGGGCAAACCCAACAGCAAGAAAGCTACTCCTGGAAAAAAGGTATACCTTATAACCATGATTTATGATAATATGTTAGTTACTTCATTTCCAGATTTTCAGAGCTCATTGTAGCGTCTTTGAGTGTAGGTTAGTGTCTGCTACACTGGAAAGCTTCAGAAGAACGGGGAGGTCTTTGATTCCAATACTAAAGAAACACCTCTTGAGTTCCGTCTAGGTTGGTATTTTAACTAGATGAAAAAGAAATTAGTTGATAGTTAAGATCCTATGAATGTATGTTTGTTGTAACATGTAGGTGTTGGACAAGTCATTAAGGGATGGGATGTTGGCGTTAATGGTAACTTAAATATATCTCACTGCCTTTTGTTTACTTTGTTCAAAATGTGCATCATGTGGTTTTTGATCTCAAGTTTTTGTTTTGAATTCTACAGGTATGCGTATTGGTGACAAAAGAAAGCTTACAATACCTCCATCTATGGGGTAAATTAATTGCAAATCATTATATTAATGAAGCTTTGTTTTCTTGATTGTCATGTTTTGTCTTAGTCTAAAACCTTTTTGATGGGAATGATGTGGTTCACAGGTACGGTACTAGCGGTGCTGGTGAGATTCCTCCTAATGCTTGGTTGACGTTTGACGTCGAACTGTTGGATGTTAAGTAAAACCGCTTGGTTTCTTAGAAACTTTATAGTGTGTTTGCAAGGAATTTTGAAAATTGATTTTTGTGTTTCTACGCAAGGCCGTAACGTTTGTTATAAGGTGTTTTGTACGCGTATTGTGTTGTCTCAGATCTTTTTGTCAACTAGTTATTCCTAGCTTTGCTTTTGCTTAAAAAAAACAAATCGTTACCATGCTAAGCCTGGCTTTTCAAAAAAAGGAACTTGTTCAATATTAGTTGTGTACAAGTATTCGACCAACACAAGATGTTGTCTGATTTAACATTTTAGTGCATATGCCAACATGTTATAGCTATATCCGAACTGGTACAATCATGACACCATGTGCAAACTGCATAGACTAAAATAGGTTAAAAGGATTTGATCCTAATATTTCTACTTTTGATAACAAGACATTGGTGCAGTCAGAGATGACTTTGACCAGTTTCTTGTGCTGCAAGTCCTGATAATAATCTTTTGACCAGTTGGTTTTCCTTATAATAATTATTTTGATGATACTTACACGTTACCACGTTCTCTGTCATTGCATCTTCCGAGTGGCATTTGCTTTTAATATGCAACATTAATGCTTGTTTTGGACTAGTCATTTCCCTGTTTTTTGGTGTTGTGTAAGTTAGAGCTAATGTTCATCATCAATGCAAACCTTTTAGAGCCAATGGGTGGTGCATAAAGATCACTATGTTCTACAAGAGCATTTCAGCATAGATACTAGAGTTTCAAAACAAGGACTACATAAGAGATACCCCAAAAGAGTTTACATAGTTTTCTACCATAACCATTGCTAAAAGATAATAAAACCACACATATTGTTCCATTTTCTTGCACACAACACATTTGCTAAACAATAAAAGATTAGTTATCCATTAAACCTTGATTCTCTGGAACAGATGGGTCCAAGTTGTGGCTGCGAATAGCAGAAGTGACCTTCTTAAGTATCTTTTGCCACTCTGTTTCTTCTCCTGTTTTCACACAAATTTTCACTAATGGTTACATTACATATACAAAACACTTCCATAAGATAAATGAAGAAAATGTAATGAATTTTATTAATTACCTTGGTGAGCTTCTCCATGAAGCTTCCTTCTAGCTTCTTTCAAGAAAGTGACAACTTTCGGATTCATCCGGTTATCTTCTTGAACAAGACAAATGTCACCAACTTTTGCAGATGTAATATTATTAACAAAGGGACCTTGGTTCCAGTAAAGTTTGTAATCACATCCACACACTTCGCTCCCTTCCTCGTCCACACTATGCTTCTCCCTCAACACCTACCCAAAACAAAAAAAACCGTAAAATAACTTCAAATTTTAAAACACTTAACCAAGATTTCAAGAATTGGGTTTTCTCACGTTAACAACGATGGCGTCGTAGAACTTGACTTCACCGGCAACGGAAGGATACGTGGCGCAGACCTTCGTGCCTTGTTCAAGAGTCGCACACTCGTTGTCTTGCATCTGAACAGAACAAGCACGGAACCTCTCTTCAAACTCTTTTAACTCCTCCGAGTTCTTGAAATCTTCAGGCGAGTAAACCTCATCGTACTCGCAGGGGAAGCCGTTGAAGTTAACCACAAGAGAGTCGCAGAGCTCCCACACGTCAACACCGTACCAAGCCTCGTCCTCCGGTGACCGGAACTCTATCTCCGGCCAGTTTTCGTTAGCCGCTTCGTCTTCGGAGAAATGAGCGATGTTTATCGTCGGACTTCCACTCCCATTAGACATTATTTTTTCGTGGAGTGTATGAGAGAGCGAGACGATGTCAAAGTGCCATGCAGCTGCTACTTTTAAAGATCCAAAAGTAGCTTTTGTAATAAAAATTTGTGTCTTTCTTTGTTATTTCCTCGGTAGATACAATGTTGGAATGTTACGCCTTTACCCCGTTTCACTTTAAATGTTTGGACATATGAAGGTGATTAATTATGAGATAAAAAGATTTTAAAAGTCAAACTTAACTACAAAAGGACATTTGTAAAATAGAAAATGATCAGTTTTTTATTTTGTATTTGGAAGAATGAGTTATAAGTTTTGCACATTTATTGAAAGGTTTTGAAGAATCATGTACTAACTACTATTTTTTTTTTCAACGTTTCATATACTGTTTAATCTAGTATTATATGAAATCCATACTGCCACAGCTTCCAGATTAAGCGGTTTAAGGACATGATTAAATAAATGAGGTGTGCAAATACGGATTTTATTGATGTAACGTTTAAAGCCTTTCAGCTATCTCAACCGAAGAAGATTTAGAAAAGACAGCACCAAAAACAAGATTATGTTAGAGCACATTAATCCAAATTCTTAGAGCACCCGCAATAATGATCTTTAGGGAAAATCCTTAGGGAAAAAGAAAAAGTGACATTTCGGGTTATATAAGGATATTTCAGATTTTTTTCTTTAAAAAAAAAAAAACTGACCATTCACGGGCCGCCACGTGGACAGTGGAGCCCGTGAATAGTGTAAGGATCAATCTTTAAATATGGATTTTAAGGATAGAATCCTTAACTATTCATGGGACCCATTGATTATAAAATTAATTTTTCCCTAACGATTCTCCCTAAGGACTCGTGGTTGCGGGTGCTCTTAGAACACAAGTTTTTAGGATTTTTTTCTGAAAAAAAATTAAGCTAATCACGAATCGTCACATGTTGGTGAGACCCGCAAATAGTCTAAGAATCAAGCTTTTGCAGAAGAGATGGAAAAGCTAATTTTTTTGTCAAAATAATGAAACATATCACTTCTATATAGATTGGGTTAATTGTGCTCTTAGATGCAATTGGATAACGTCTAACGTTAGAACTTTAATTAGTGAGTCAAGACTTAGTTCTATTATAGGTTTAGGAAGTCCTCACCTGAGGATCAAATTCTTGGTTGTACATGTCACTTCTATATAGCAAAAAGAAAAGGCAGAGTTTTGTGCTTAGGAATACCTCCAGAGATTTTTGTTTTCAAAGGGATGTATGTAATTAACATAGATGAGATGATTACTCATGTTTTGGTTATATGACCTTGCTAAGAGCATCTCCAAAAGAGACTCTATAACTTCAAATATGAAGTTTTTGTCACTCCAAAAAGGAACTCTAAAACTTCAAATTTGAAGTTTTGAGTAGTGAAACTTCAAATTTGAAGTTTTGAGTAGTGAAACTTCAAATTTGAAGTTTTGAGTAGTGAAACTTCAAATATAGAGTGTCACTATTCAAAACTTCAAATTCGAAGTTTCATATTTTATTTACATTTTGGTCCTTACAATTACACATCATATTTATAATAATCTTAAATATTTATTATTTATCATTTCAATCCTTAAAATTATTATTTCATAAATAGTTCAAAACTATTTTTATAAATTTAAATTTTCTATTTAAAAAAAAGCATCAAGATAATCTTTAAAATATTTTAAAACTAGAAGTTGACAACAGCAATACTACGTGATATAATGTGGTATTTTGTTTGTACTTTAATATATAATTATATATTTCTGTTTATAGTTTTATATTTTAGTGTGACATTTTATCAAATGATATTTCTATAATATTTTTATACATGATAGTTATTTATAAAAATTTATGAATTTGAATTAGTTATGACAAATATAAGGACCATTATATAAAATACAAATAGTTTTAAAGTTAGGTTTGAAGTTTTGCTTTTGGAGTATAACACCTTCAAACTTCAAATATAGAGTTTTGCAAACTCTATAATAGAGAGTCTTTTTGGAGATGCTCTAAGTGAACCCAACATAATTGTCCAGTGGTCACAATTGTTTTATAATTTTTTTTGCAGATTGTCCATTTTCTATGATAATATTTTACCTCTATATATGACTCCTAATAATATCATAGTTGTATTCTTCTTAAGGTGCATTTATTTCTTACTTTAAAATAGAATCTGCATTTAGTTCATGATTTAAAATAGAAATTGCTATTTACTCTACATTTAAAGCACCTTCATCCCTCCATCCCCCCCCCCACCTACTTCTATATTAATTATAGAGTAAATTAGATGTTTTCATGCACCTATGTGCATAAATAAAGTTTAAATTAAATTAAATTTAAAACTAAATTTCAATAGATTTAATAACTTAAAAGATTGGTTAACCTTATCTTACATTGAGTAATATATTTAAATATAACTTTAAATATATACATTATTATTAATATTGCCTTTGATTTGTAATTTAATAGTAAATAAAATAATTATAAAATTTTATCTCTAATTAATATGATTTTAGATTATTACAGTATTTCAAAAACTTATCAAAATATCTAAAATGAATTATCCATGTTACTATAATCTTTATATCATATAATAACTTTTAACTGCAAAATGTTATTTTAAAAGAATATGGTCATGAACTTTTAAAAAGTAATATATGTTTATAATTTTAAATATATACATTGTTATTACTATTGCCTTTGTTTTGTAATTTGAATAATTATATATATTTATACAATGATTATCTTTAATATAATGTGATTTTAGATTATTACAGTATTTTTACAAACTTATCAAAATATCTAAAATGAATTATCCATGTTACTATAATTTTTATTTCATATAATAATATGGTAATGAAATTTTTACAAAGTACTATATGTGTTAATATATAATTTTGTTAAGATAGATTAACTTTTGGAAATTTGAAGCACATATAATTTTGCAGAAATTTTTATTTGCAAAATTCAGAACAGTATAAATGCTAAAAGATATAGAACTTGTGTTAGTTACAGTATATAGAACAATTAAATTATGGGATATAAATTTAAGAACTAAATATTTTCTTACAATGTTACCATATTTGGATAATTTTATTATAAACATTAAAAATAGATAAATACTAAAAATATTAAATACATTTAGTTGCTTTTTATTAACTTGTTCAAAGTGTAAGTTTAATATTAATTTCACGCAGATTTAAAATTACTTTTTATATTTTTAATTATGATAATAGTTATATAATTAATATTGTATATTTTAATTTCCTTAATTGAGTTTTGTTTAATAATAATGTTAAGCCATATCATAATTAGGTAGGATTTTTGTATTTTACTAATTAACAGACTGAGTTTGGTTCAGTCCCTTCTGGGTTCGGTTCGGTTCAGATCGGATTATAATCAAAGTATAAAATCGCCCAAAAATATTTTTTGAAAAATTAAAGACTTGACAAAAATGTACTTAAAATATATAAATTATTCACAAATCTAACTAAAAACAAGTTAAACTACCTAAACTAACTAAAAATTATTCAAAATAACAAGTAAAATAAACTACAAAAATCTTTAAAATACTCTAAAACATCTGAATTACCTTAACATATATAAAAATAGTAACATATTTCACTATTTACAGATATAGTGAGATCCAAATTTAGATTTCGATTTGATTTGAATTGTACCCAAACCCCAAATTTTCAAGCTCGTAAGTCCCGTTTGGATATTTTTGTATAGCTGTTTGATCTGGTTTCGATTTTTCTGATTCGGAATGAGGTAAAAAGTTCAGTTTAAGGTAAAAACAATCATACCTATGTTTTTTTCTTAAAGTAACTATTAATATATTTTTGAAATTATAGTATTTTGTACAGCAAAATAACATACACAACAATAAAAATTACAAGACTAAATCTTACACCTAGATTTCTAACAAATCTAGCCATTAAAAATATACATAGATTTTTGGAGCATGAAAGATGAACGTGTTTCAGGTGAAGAAAGTTCTCAAATGTGATATTGTAGAAGTCGAGCATTATCTACAAATATTGCAACACATGGAAAATTAACATCCTACAATTATTTTTATTACAAATCATATTATTTTACATAATAAGTTGATAATTTTCTTTTCCTGTACGTAGTATGGGATAGTATACTAGTTAGAAACTAACATGAAAGTTTAGGGGATCTTTGTTGTAGTATTGTAGTATCCACGTTAGAAATCAAAAGTAACATGGATACTAGTGGGTTTTTAACTTGACCAGATGTATAATCAAAAACTTTCAGTGATAGAATTTGGAAAAAGAAAGTAACAACTTTCTTGAAGAAGAGAGTTTTTTGTGAAATCATAAGTTTGTTTTCTAACATGGATACTACAACAATCACAAGAGGATAGAGAGAGCCTAATGACAGCAGCTTCTAACCATTCTCTGTTAACAAAAAAAAATCAACATAACCTGAAAAACCCATCACCCCTAACAAATCCCTCAAAAGAAACATCAGCTCGGAATCTCGTTGTCAGATAGGCAAAATTCTCCATCCTCACCTTCTAACTCATTGTCATCTTCTTCATCCTCTCCCTCCTCTTGTCCTCCATCGCCTCCTCCCTGGCCAGAAGAGAAAGGTTCCTTGACATGGTTAACCGAGTTTGTGTAGTAACTGTGAACCGGATTCGCCGTGTTTTCATGCTGATATGAAGGAGTTGGAGCATGTACAGAAACAGAGTTGTTAAGCCTCTCGAATCTCGCCTTTCTTTCTTCTGCAGTGATGTTAAATGAGATGGATGATGGTTGCCGTCTTTCTTTTAATACCTGCAGCTGTGACTGCTCCTGACCAGCTATAAATGTCCCTACCATTACCTATGTAATAAAAGTCAATGTCAAACACAGGACTCTCTCAAAGGTCCAAATTACCAAGAACTAACCTGGACAGGACCAGCAGCAAGAAAGAGACCAGCGAGTCCTCCACCAAAGACACGACCGTCTGGTCCTGCGAGACAAACACTCATACCACCAGCTCTACTTCGAGTTCCTCCAGTGTCGTTTTGCGTAAACGAACCGGTCAAAGAGAGAATCTCAAAACGACCCTAATGATCACAATACAAACACACAGTTGAAGCAACACAGAATACACAATAGTATAAATGAGAAGACATAAGAGTGTTGTATCTAGACCTCATAAGTTAGAGTACCCCCTGATGTAGTAGATTGACGCAGCGTAACGTTAGAGATGGGACCGTTAGCTGAAAGGATACAGATAGCACGAGATCCTTGTTGAGAGAATGTCATTATCTTCATCGTCACATCCTGCACACATCCATGTGTGTGAGTGAGCCCCAGTGCCTAACACTATGCGACTATTCATAAAGTTACATACCTCTCCAGCGTTTACTGTGAGCACATAAGGTGTAAAGTTCGCTCCCATAAAATCTGCAGTAGCAGCAGCAGCTGCAGCTCCTGCACCTGCAAAATTGGTAACAACTGAACCAAGACAAGTCAAAATCAAGGGGGAAATTTCAACTTTACCGCAAATTTGATAACAGTAACATTTATAAAATATTTATAGAACCCTACCCCCCCCCCCAAAAAAAAATACTAAACCCTAAACAATAATCACTAAACCTTAACAAGTACTTAACACATGCTAAGGTATTTTTGAGCAAGTGTATTTTGAAATGTTGTAATCAAATTATGGTATTTTTAGCAATTTCTCTCAAAATCAAAGCTGAGACAACAATAGATTAAGATTTACACACATAGTCAAAATCAAACGAGATGTATAGTTAAGATATAGACACATGAGTCACGTAAACTAACAAAACTCCTACATTTCTAGTTCTGAACAGACAAAGGTTCCAAAGAGTTAAGTCCGAGAATGTATTAAAGACATTATTACCCGGACTTCTGTCGAACTGGAACATCTGAGACTTCTTGAGCCAACGACTAGACCTGCTGCCACGTCCTCTTCCTCGCTTCCTAGGCGTAAACTCCGAAGACAATGGAACAGAGGAGGAGATTGGCATCGGGGAGAGAGTCACAGCGAGTGTCCCATCGGGGTTATACTTTCTCGGCCTCCCTCTCTTCTTCTTCTGCTCGGAGGAACCAGTCTCCGCCGCCGCCGGCATTGTTAAACTGAACTGAGGAGCCGCATTTTCCACAGCCACGGCGGAGGAGGGGGTGGAAGAAGAAGTGATGGGTGGGGCTGAAAACGGGTTATCGGGTCGTGGTGGGTCCATCTGGTAAGGAACAGAAGAAGCAGCAGCAGGTTCATGTTGTTGTTGTTGTTGGTTCAGACCGAAACTGGTGACGTTGTTGTTGTTGTTGGTTCCTTCTCTCTCTTCCATTAGGACATAAAAATTTGAGAGAGATTCCGACAAATGAGTATGGCCCAGACAGAACAAAAAAAAGAATCCAAATATCCCCTTCCGAATCTTTGTGATCACGAAAGATTCAAGCTTTGGTTTTCTTTTTTTTGTTGTTGTACGAAGTTGAGATTCAGAGATGAGAGTGATAGCGAAAGTTGAAGACTTTATGGAGGAAGGAGAGCAGTGGAAGCTTCTATGAGAGGAATCGATCTTAATTATCAGAAAATTAGATCTAAAACATGTATAATTATAATCAAAGAAGAAAGATCTGTTTTTTTTTTTTTTTCTAAGAGTGGTTTAAGTTTGGGGAGAAATTTCTAATGGTGAAGGTGAAATTAGGGTTTTGGGCAAGAAATAATGTGAATGTATAAATATATGAAAATAGAAAATGGAATAAACCATATGGATATTATAATTTTTTAATCAAGAAAAAGAAAGTGAGAGAAAACTGTGGATTTGAATAATATAAATGGAAAAATATATTTAAAATCATGACTTAGTTCGAAAACTAATTACTTGGTTAAGTGAATGGTTTGGTATTTCTTCATTTTCCTTCAGACTTCAGTCAACTAATGGTGTTGTACGTTCTTAAATTGTAATATTTTAAATTTGTGATAAATGGAAAATATATTTAGAATCACGAATTAATTCGAAAACTAATTACCTGGTTAAGTGAATAGTTTGTTTTTTTATATTTTTGTTCACTCATACACTCATACTTACTTAAATTGTAGTATTTATTCATTTGGGATAATGTTTAAAATATGAAAAAGGCTGTAAAGCAAAACAGGAAACGTAACGTTTGAGCCATGCCAAATTGCTTTTTTATTTTTCTAGTGTACAGTAACATTACAATACAGATACGGACAAACTGTATCTCTTTTGGTCTGATCTCGTTGACTGAACATAGAAAACTTTGACTTATATTCCTCCCTAACTAGTAACTACCACACTCTCTGTGGGCCTTCTAAGGTGCTATTCTGAATTCCACGGACTGGGCCTAGTCAGAATCCATTTTCACATGACAATGAATCTATGATGATATGATCGCACGTTTGACTTACTTTTGAGGATTGTAATGTCACATAAATGACGATGGTTTGCAAAAAGAGGACCTATCCTCGATTTTTTCACTAAGGCGCTCATATAGATTACATTGTGCGTTGACAAGAAAAATACATTGTCTTCAATGTATTTGCCAAATAAGAAGGCCCTGCTCAAATATTAGTTGGGCCCTATGCTAAGTTTTTTCTTTTTTTTTTTTGCAAATTGTGAACTAAACCTCTGATATATATATATATATATATATATATAGGTTTACAAATTAGACTAAATTAATTATTCACATATCTGCGTGTAGTACGGAGAAAGACTCTAGTTAAAATAAAAATATCTGTACATAGTGCGGAGATGCGGAGAAAGACTCTAGAAATAAAAGAGATGCCCAATTAGAGCAGACACTGCAAATAAGTATTCTTAGTTTTAATCTGTTGATGAAGTCTTCAATCTATATGCCAAATAATTATTCTCAGCTTTAAAATATTGTTTAACTCGTCAAATATTGTTGATGAAAAAGAAATGAAACAATAGATAATACTGAGTTTGATTGATAATTTCACCCCCCCCATATTTAACAATCACAAAACGTTATTAAAATCGTTACGTTTTTTTTTGTATATGTACTTTTATCATTTATTATTTTTTAATAATAATATTATTCACTATCAGTTTTAACCGTATTTTTTTTTGAGTTTTCACTATCATAATTAATGAATTGATTTTTATCAGTTTGTTTTTACGAGCTCATAAAATCTTTAAAAAAGCAATGCTTAGCTTATCCTTTTATTTTGCAGAGCTAAGAGCGGATGTCGTATTGACAAAGTCGTGTTGACAGGCGAGGGTCTGCAATTTTAAGGTAAAGGGGGTGATATTGCCACTATTCAGAGTTCTCAATTTGTTTAACCACTGTTAGGAAATTACCTTCCCACGAAAGTCGTGTTGACAGAGTCGTATTGACAAATCTGCTCAAGCTAAGGAATTACAAGTGGCATGATCGGAACTTGCGAGAGAAGAATAGAAATCTAAGCTCATAAGAGATAAGTTAAGTTTTGGAAAACTAGAGAGAACTTAGAGAGAAAAGTTTTTTTTTAAAATGTTTTATTTTGGCAAGAGCACAATTATCTAACCAGCATGATAAACCAAGAAAATTCACTAAAAAATGTAGCAAAATCGATTTACTTCTATTTTATCTTTTTCGGTGTTTTAAAACAAAAGAAAAATAAAGAAAAGGAAAGAAATATGCTGGGTGGAAGAAAAACCCTAAACCCGAAAACAAACCACCTGACCCGTTTCCAGATCCACTTCTTCTTCCCGCACTGGCAACACACGATGACCACGGAGACAGACGACTCTCCAGCTGTACGGCGGCGCGTGTCCTGCACAAAATGCTTCGACGCTCTCTGGTTCTGCTACTGTACGTCTTCTCCCCCCTGTCTGATCGCATTCTCTGATTCTATATCTTCAAAATTTACTCTCCTTATTGCAATTTTTGAAACTGTTCTTCATTTGGGTTTCTTCAGTGGGCAAGTAAAATTTGAACTTTAATTAAGATTTTGATCCATCCGTTAAAAAAAAAGTCTTCTTTTTGCTTTTCGGATTTGTGTTCTTTGTCAAGAAACTGATCTCTAGTGTTCGTACTTGTTCTGCCTGTTATGCACTAAGAACATTGTTCGAAGTTTGGTTTAAATGGGTATTTTCGTATTTAATGTCTGAAACTATATCGGGAATGTAATGTTTTGTTGAAGGGATGTCTAGATGGTCCAACATAACCAGGAATGGCGATGGGACATGACAAGGTTGTGTCTTTAAAAAATAAGGATTAGTACTTTTGTCTATATGTTTTAAGGAGAGAATCGTATATGTTTTTTCTTTTTAGAATTTTTCTATATGTTATGTACTTGTGTCTCTGTTTGCTCTATCTTTTCGAGTGTTCTTTTTTTATTTTTGCATTATGTTTGAGCTGTTTATGTTGAATTCACTTTACTTGTAACGTTGTCTTGGCTTTGTTGGATTAAGGATTAACTCAGACTATTTTCTTTGCAGCACCATTTTATCAAATGCAGCAGTATTACCGGATTGGAAAACTTGATGATTGCACTAAGAAGTTCTCTGATCTCTTTGATTGTCTTTCATTAAAGACCAAAAGCTCTTCTGAAGCCGAGGTTTGTACATTCTTTGATCTTATATAGTTGCTTCATTCTTCATTCCTTTTTTTTTGTCTACTCAATAGGATCAAACACTAACATACTAGATAAACTCAAATAAGTAGGGGTTGAAGTTATGTGAATCACACTTCTGTTCAGTTCTGTATATATGGAGAAAGTTAAACATAATATTGTTCTTTTTGCACCATATCGAAATATTACACAAAACGTTGGTGCAGTTTCCAATTTTTTATTTATGGATGTGTCTGTTATCTTCCGAAATATATAAGGTTTGACAATTGCAGAAAATTCTGTTGGAGCAAGAGCAAGCAATTGCAGCAAAACATATCTGGATTATGCGGACACAGGAAGAAGCTTCTAGTCACTGGAACGAGACGTTTGGGCATTTGGATGATCCAAATTATTAGAAAGTGCAGTTTTCGCACTCTATACTGGCTTCTTGATGGATATTTTCCCTTCAAGAAACTCGATTTTTTTTTGTTAGAGATTTGCAGATTATTCTGCTGCGGGATAAGAAAAAGCTGTTGTCATCATTTACCTATGAACATTTTAAGGTAAAGTTCACCTGGAAAGATGAAGGGATGTTGAGAGATCATTTGAATGTATTTGGTAACTACAGAAATGAAATCTTATTCTATTAATAAAAGTTGGAAATATTAGACATGTACCAATTTTTTCTTTCATTATAAAACTTATATGCTACAACGTTTAGCAAATTTTTATATTTCACCAGAGTGGTACTACTAGGCCAAGTTCTTTGCAAGTGTTTTCCTTTGGAAAGATGTCTTTCATATTCACAAAAAGCAGGAAGACAAGAGGAGAAACATAGTACAAGATTTAACAGTCTGAGAAGACAAAGTTCATTGGGACCCTTAGATTCTCCAAACGTCGAGGAAAGCTTTACCATCGAGCTTTCGGGAGAACACGACCTTCAAAAACTCTTCAATAGTCACGCTTCTGAACAACGCAGCCTTCTGCCTTTCCACAAGACTTTTCAGCGGACTAACCACTTTACCCATTCCCATACCGTGAAACGTCGCTACAGAAAGCCTCTCTTTCTCTGAGTTGACAATTCCACGATGCTCTATACTTTTGTATGTCCCATTCGTTATAATCTACATTGATAACCAATGGCGGAGCCAGAATTTTTTTAAGCGGGATCAATAGTATAAACTATATTAAACATAAAAATTATAAAATATTATATCATGAATTTTAAAATATTTATTAATATTTATGTTTGAAAACCTTATACACCATTTTATAGTAGTGAACAAATAATTCTAAATGTTATGAAAATAATTTTAAATAATTTATAACTAAGCTGTTACAATTATAATATATTATTCATAATTTCATTTAAATTAAATTTACACATAGATGTTACTTAGCAATTTGTATATAAATTAATTATTGTCTCGCCCAATTCTTATCTAGCATCCTTGTTTTTTATAGTTTCAATGTTTTTGTTTAACAAATCGAAGATAAGATCAACTGAAAGTGATTTAATACATTTTAAAAAAAAACATTTGTTAAAACTATAAATCCTAAACTATACAATAAGAGGAATAAATACACAACTGTAACTTTAGTTATATAGAAGAAATACACATTTAGGAAAGAATCAGTTCTAGTAATCATCCTTTAAACTTTTTTTTAAAGTTATACAAGACTTTTAACTTTAGCAATAAGCCTATTTTAACTGACCTTGATTTACTCATATGGATTTTGGAAAGAAAATGATGTGTATCTATTTTAGGTTACTTTAAATCGTTCAAGTAATTGTTTTTTTTTTAACTCAAGTAACGTGGGCTGGAATTTTGTAGGGGTCAAGAAGAAATTTGAATGGGGTCAAGGACTACAAACTCTCAGAAACTAGTATACAGTAGAATCTCTATAAATTAATACTCGATAAATTAATAATCTCTATAAATTAATAAATTTCACCGGTCCCAATTTGGGCCGGTTCAAAATTTGACACAAATCGATAAAATAATAAGATAATAAATTTTCAGAAAATTCTATGTAAATATACGGTCCCTTTAAAATTATAAATTAATAATTTCTATATATACATATTTTATATAAGAAAGAATCTATCATTATATTGTTTGTTTTATATTCACAATGGAATTATCTTTACATTTTCTTACCACATAATATATTTTTGATGAGATTTAGTAATATATATCTAAAATCACATTTAAATTTTATGAAATATATATTACATACCAAATAATATTTAAAATTAATATAAATGTCACATTTAAAAAAATAATGATTAATGTTTATACATTAAAATCAAATATTTTTCTTATCTTAAAATAAATATATCTTAAAATAAAAAAATCTAAATAAGGAAACTTTTGTAAATTAATATCTCTATAAGTTAATAAAATTTTAAAGTCCCACCATTATTAACTTATAGAGGTTTTACTGTAGATAGTTAAAATCTATAGGGTCAGCTGACCCCACTAGCTCTCATATGCCTCCGCCCCTGTTGATAATTTTAGCAAGAACCATTTACAAATGCTATACCAATCACTCACTCTCTAATCCATATGATCTTACCTCTAATATGTCTCCAATATTGACAATGAATGCATTTGGGAGAGGTTTGACTGGAACCCAATTGCCATCTTTCTTGATCTGGAGACCTTCAACTTCATTAATCTGCAAAAGGATGGTGAGTCCTGTTGCATCAGAATGTGGAGTTAAACCATTAACCTGATCAGGCTCTGGACAAGGTGGGTAGTAATTCATCCTCATTTTCTGTCCTAACTCGTCATCAAACAACTCTTCCATTTCCTCAGGTTTGATCTTCAAGGCTCTTGCTATTTTCTCTAACAAGATCTTAGCTATGCTTTTCACTTCAGTTGAGTACTTCTCTAGTGTATCTCTGAAGAAAGACATAACCAAGATTTAAAAACAGAAAAGACTTGTGTTGTGGTGGTGGAAAGAACATTTTGAAGTAAAACCTGAAGGGAAGAGGTAACTTGGGTAACAAGTGAGGCTTCCTTGACCGGACAGGTTGCATTGTGAGGTAGAACATGTCATTCCAATCTAGTTTCTGCTCCTCTGAAACAACAAAAGCTTGTCCAAACCCTTCGATCTCACCTGGTTGTTGCCATAGCTTCTTCTTCTCTTCCATGGGAAGGTTGAAGAGATCTTGAATCTCTGACTTGACTTTGTCCAAGAAGTTTGAGTCCATTCCGTGGTTCACAAGCTGTAGATAAATTACAAAAGATAAGCCAAAATGATCAAAATTTGAAATTCATATGTTAACAAAAAAATAGTATTAAGTTAGAGACTTGCTTGGAAAAAACCCCATTCTTTACAAGCCAAGTCAAGCTTGTTAATCTCAGAGGCCATGGAGGTTGAAGAACACAAACGATTCAGGTCAATGATTGGGATCTCGGTTCTTGAACCGTAGTCATCGGTGATCTCAGTTTTGTCTAGCTCAGACCGTATATACCTCGGAGGAACCGTCTTGATCATCTTATCATTGACCATTTCTTGTACAGAAGGAACTATTATGGAGTTATACTGGTTTGCTGCTCCCTTGGCTTCCATGGCCACTTCTTCTTCTTGATTTTTCTTTGACTTTTGGAAGCGCGGACACAAAGGATACAAAAGTGGAGCTGCCTAATGCTGTACACAATAAGCGGTACTTTTGATCATTGTCCAAATTATAGCACACCTAATCTTTTTTTTTAGAACAACTAGCCCACCTAATCTATTATATTAGATGTCTATTATTAATACCATAAAATGTTGTCATTTAAGTTTTAACTATATGATTACCCATGACTTTGATCGATCAACCATCAAATTATAAATCCTCAAGCGTACAGTCATAGACCGTCAATATAAAGTTGATGAGTAGGTTCATGTTTGTTGATATTTTATTTTTTCTTCAAAACCTATTTAATTTCATTGAGTTCAATAATATCACCCGGATGTTATAATTCACCATCTCACTTCAATATGAAAAATTGTACTTTTAAAATGATATAATCAAATAACATTTGAGACACGCGCTTGCGTATAATGAACATTAGTTGTGTACACATATTATTTATACATATTATTATTTATTTTATGTTCATTTACATATTATGAAATAGTAAATATATTGAATAATTGAGAAGCGATTATAACTATTACGTATATAATTAAATTGTAATAAACATAAAAATAAAAACAATCTGTCTTTGTATTTAAAATATTTTTTGTTTGGTAAAAAAAATCAAAATAATGATTTATTTATTTTATATGATATATAATTAAAATTAAATGATAGCAATATAAATATATAGTATATTTTAATATGAATATTTATAAATTGAGATTCCATACTCATATGATTTTACTAACATTTTTATATTTACTGTAACAAAATTATTATTTTATTAATATGAATATTTATTAATTGATGCTTCCTACTAAATGCGAAATTCTGAAATTAACGTGTTTATGTATTTTATACATGATATATATTTTAATTGAAACGATATTGAAGTATATATATATATATATACTATAAATATATATTAAATGATACTTCATATTTATATGATTTTATAATCATTTCTATCTTTTTATAACAAAAAGTTAAATCACTGATCACAAAATTTTTAATGTGAATTTTTTTAACAGTCTTAGTAATTTATAACGGTTTAAAAAAATTCAAAATATAGCATATACGAAAAAAATTATTTTTTATTATATAATTAATGTGATTGCTTATAACATTTGCATAAAATAAAACAAAATAAGAATTAAATAAAACAAATTTACATAACTCTGCATGTAACAGGGACATACTCCTATCCTAGTATAAGATAAAAGAAAGCAAGGGTGTAAGAGAAAACAAATATTGAGAAAAATATTACATGCGTTTGAGGTGAACTGGACTCTTAATTTAATGGATGTACGAAATTGATTGGTGATGCAGTTTTAAAAATCTGGTGTGCAGAATTTTTTGATGTAGATTTCTTAGTTACGAGGTAAACATCTATTTTTTACTGTAGATTTAGAAATTAACTTAAATCATAATTTATAATTTAAAGATGATAAATAAAAAATTAGAGCTAAAAATGTATCTACAACCCTAACTAATACACCAAATGTTAAAACACAGTCTTCTCTTTTTCTAGAACACACTCTTATTCTTCCAACTCTAAAATCAAAGCAGCCAAACCCTAGCTCCAGTCCGGTGTGATGACTCCTCCGTCATGGTTCAACCTTCGTTCATGGAGGCGAAGATTGAAGGCGGAATATTGTCTTTTGGTTCTCGAGGATAATCAGAGACGGCTTAGGAGGGAGGGGGGGGAGAATGAATGCGATCGCCCCGGGCCCAACTCCATCCCCTCGATATAACTATACTTAAAGATTTTTTTTTTTGTATTAGATCAAAACAAAAGATCTTTTTGTATATTTCTATATCTATACTATTATTTAAGAAGTAAATTTGCTTAGTTGTCATCTTCTCCATAAATTTAGGTAATTTTGTTTATTTGTCATATTTTTAATATTTATATATAATTTATTTATAAATAAAAAAAATTTATATGAATATATCATATTTTTAGAAAATAAGATAATGCTTGTGAACTATTTTGTTATTTTGAAATATATTTATATATATATAGAACTTAAATTTTAAATTAAGATATAAAAATTATTATATTTATTATATAACTAAAACGAATTTATATTAATAATTTTATATTTTTCTAAAATAAGATAATTCTATGTTTATGCGGTTATGTTGAAAATATATTTTTGTATCAAAAAACCTAAAATTAAGATATAAAAATTATATTATTAATAATTAAACATAAATATATAAAATATACAAGATAAAATTGTAATAAAATAATTAATATACACGATATTTAAGATATTTTGTATTATTTATATTATTAATCAAAATATTCTATTTTAAATATAATTGATTTATTTATTATATAACTAAAAGGCATTTATACTAATAATTTTATATTTTTCTATAATAAGATAATTCTTATGTATTATGTTGTTGTGCTGAAAATATATTTTCCTATTATAAAAATTAAATTAAGATGTAAAACTCTTTATTAATAATTAAATATAAATCATCAAAATAATTATTTGAAAAGTGTATTTGTTGATTTGTCTCCATGATCCTAGGTAATTTTGATCATTTATCAGAATTTCTTCAATTTTGTTTATTTTGATTATATAATTAAAACTAATTTATATTAATAATATGATATTTTAGAAAATAACTTAATTCTTATGTATTATGATGTTATCTTGAAAATATATTTTTCTATTATAAATTTAAAATTAACATGTAAAAAATTTATACTATTATTTAAGAAGTGAATTGGATGTTTGTTGATTTTTCCTATTTTTCATGATTTTAGGTAATTTTGATATTTATCATAATTTCTATAATTTTATATATAATTTATTATATATTAAAAAAATATATTAATAGTATTAGATTCTTAGAAAAAAAGATAATTCTTATGTATTAAGTTGCTGTTTTGAAAATAAATCTTTATATTAGAAATTTTAAATTAAGATATAAAAAATTGTAGTTATTCTATAATTGACATAAATTTACTCTAATAATATTATACTTTTGAGAAAATAAGGTAATTCTTATGTATTATGTTATTATCTCGAAAATATATATTTATATTATATAATTTAAAAGTAAAATAGAAAGTTATATATTATTAATGAAATATAAATCATCACTTAAGAAAAATTATTTAAGAAGTGAATTTGCTGATTTATTAAGTTCTCCATGATTTTAGCCAATTTCAATTATATGTCATAATTTCTATAATTTTGTATAATTAAAAATAAATAACTTATCCATCATATTGTTATCTTGAAAATAGGTTTTCTATTATAAATTTAAAATTAAGGTAGAAAAAATATAATAAAGCATAAATTAAGTACAAATATTTGTATAAATATTATAATTAACTATAAATCAAGCAAAATAGTTATAGAAATATATTCTTTTAAATATTTCTGATGTTTTAGTTTTGTCATTGATAATTATTTGATGTTTGATTTGTACTTTTTGAAAACATAAATAATAATTTATTGCAGGTTTTTAAAGTAATGAAACATCAACTATTTATAAGAGAATTATGTCCGCAAGTACGAGTAAAACACCTAGTTTTAAACAATTTTCAATTATTTTTATAGAAAAAATAGATTGAAAAGGGCCCAAAAATAATAAAAGTTTTTTTTTGTTTTCATAAAAAAATTTACAAAATAGTTATTTAAAAAATTTTCTATTTTTTTTTTAAAATAAATAAATATAGACTTTAGCAAAAAAACCAATACTTAGGAATGCAAAAAAAAAAACATTTGCCCTAGCCCTAGGGCCCATCAGAGTGATGAGCCGGCCCTGGGGATAACATGTACCAAAGGTTTACGAAAAAGGAGTAGTCGACTGAAGGAGCTTTCCTCTTGGTGGTGGTTCGACATCCCAGCACCGGCGAAGTTCGTCTTAGATTCACAATTCTGGTTCGTGTGTACTGCCAAAGCTCGACTTTTCATTCCGGATGTGTATATCCGGTTTTTATGGCTGAGGATTGGGACGTTGAAAGCTGGTGACACAAGAAAATTCTGAGAACGCATCTAAGGTGAAGATGCTGTCGGGTCAAGTTTATCACACTGATCTTAAGGGACCAACAGCTTGTTTTAATTTGTAATCTCAGTTTTGACTTGTCTCATTAGGTTAGTAAATGTGTCTGTAACATGAGGTCTAATAATTAGGTGGTTGAAGAGTTGATAACATCTGTAGTTGTGAGGTATTGTTGTACTCATTGGGGTATAAATGCACAAGGGGAACTTGATTAGGTAATATTGGATCCTTAAAGTGATTCAAGATGATACTAGCAGATCTTATTCTATTAATAAAAGTTCGAAATATTAGACATGTATTTGGTAACTACAGAAATGAAATCTTATTTAATTAATAAAAGTTGGAAATATTAGACATGTACTAATTTTTTCTTTTGTTATAAAACTTATATGCTACAAAGTTTAGCAAATTTTTTATATTTGACCAGAGTGGTACCACCAGGCCGAGTTCTTTGCAAGTGTTTTCCATTAAAAAGATGTCTTTTGAGGCCTAACTAGGCCTGGGCGTTCGGTGGCCCAATATGTTTCAGTTCGGTTGATTCGGATTTTCGGATTTTCGGTACTGTGCTCATAAGTACCATTCCGTTTTTGTTAATAATCGGATCGGGTTCGGTTCGGTTCCTTCCGGGTGCAGTTCGGATCGGATTATAAAATCGTCCAAAAATATTTTTTTTTTAAAACCTAAAATTTTGACAAAATAGTATTCAAAATATGTAAATTATTCACAAGTATATAAACTATCTAAATAAGATATATTCAAAATAACATATAACATAGACTATGAAAATATTTAAAATATTATAAACTATCTAAATTACCTTAACATATATAAAAATATTAACATATTTAACTAATTTCGGATACCTTCTGATACCTTCGGATCCTACTTCAGATTTTGGTTCGGTTCGGGTTTAGGTCACTACTTCGGGTTGGGGTAAAAACGCCAGGCCTAGGCCTAACAGTTTAAATGTTTGGCCCCTTAGAGAGAGAAAGTGAGATGGATATTTCAATTCACAAAAAGCAGGAATACAAGAGGAGAAACAAAGTTCATTGGGACACCTTAGATTCTCCAAACGTCGAGGAAAGCTTTTCCATTGAGCTTTCGGGAGAACAAGACCTTCAAAAACTCTTCAATGGTCACACTTCTGAACAACGCAGCCTTCTCTCTTTCCACAAGACTTCTCAGCGGACCAACTACTTTCCATTATTGTGAAACGCCGCCACAGAAAGCCTCTCCTTCTCTGAGTTGACAACCCCACGATGCTCTATACTTTTGTATGTACCATTCGTTATAATCTACATTGATAACCATAGTAACTTACTAAGAACCATTAATAATGATATACCATTCACCTCTCTCTCGTCCAAATGATATTTACCTCTAGTATGTCTCCAATATTGACAATGAATGCATTTGGGAGAGGTTTGACTGGAATCCACTTGCCATCTTTCTTGATCTGGAGACCTTAACTTCATTAACCTGCAATTTTTTTTTTTTAGATTTATTAAGAACTTTATTAATTTTTTTTCATAATTTGAGGTGCCTATCTCCTCCATATATATAACTTGTAAAATTTTTTTTGGGCGAAAACCAATGTTTTATTAGGCTTGGTCCAGATCCGGCCCTGACCTGCAAAAGGATGGTGAGTCCTGTAGCATCTGAATGTGGAGTTGCACCATTAACCTGATCAGGCTCTGGACAAGGTGGGTAATAATTCATCCTTATTTTCTGTCCTAACTCATCATCAAACAACTCTTCCATTTCCTCAGGTTTTATTTTCAAGGCTCTTGCCATTTTCTCTAACAAGATCTTAGCTATGCTTTTCACTTCAGTTGAATACGTCTCTAGTGTATCTCTGAAGAAAAACATAACCAAGGTTTAAAAAACAGAGAAGAGTTGTGGAGGTGGAAAGAACATTTTGAAGTAAAACCTGAAGGGAAGATGTAACTTGGGGAACAAGTGAGGCTTCCTTGACCGAACAGGTTGCATTGTGAGGTAGAACATGTCATTCCAATCTAGTTTCTGCTCTTCTGAAACAACAAAAGCTTGTCCAAACCCTTCAATCTCACCGCGTTGTTGCCATAGATTCTTCTTCTCTTCCATGGGAAGGTTGAGTCCATTCCGTGGTTTACAAGCTATAGAAAAAAGCCACAATTAATGATCAAATTTGAAATCATACGTTAACAAAAAAAAAACAGTATTAAGTTAGAGACTTGCTTGGAAAAATCCCCACTCTTTGCAAGCCAAGTCAAGCTTGTTAATCTCAGAATCCATGTAGGTTGAAGAACACAAACGGTTCAGGTCGATGATTGGGATCTCGGTTCTTGGACCGGACTCATTGGAGATCTCAGACCGTATATACCTCGGAGGAACGGTCTTGATCATCTTATCCTTGACCATTTCTTGTACAGAAGGAACTATTATGGAGTTATACTGGTTTGCTCCTCCCTTTGCTTCCATGGCTGCTTCTTCTTGATTGTTCTTTGACTTTTTTTGTTTGTTACAAATGTGGAAGCACTGACAAGAAAACATAAAATGTGGATTAGTGATAATTGTCCAAATTACAACACCATTAGTAGTTTTTTTTTTTTTTTTTTTTCTGTCAGCCACCATTTGTAGTTGTTAATGTATGTCGTTGACCAAAACAAGAAAGATTTTGTCGGAAAAGAAAAACAAGAACGAAAGAAAGAAAAAGTGAAGTAATACTACGTCGTTTTAGTGTTTGCTGTTTTGTCTATGTGGGAACATTGATTTGACACCACACACTTGTAACGAGTCTTCTCCACCTTAACTCCCGTTTGCTTCCAGTATCATGGAAACTACTGGACCAGTTTTTCTGCTCTTCCACCGTCCTCATGACATCACTCTCTCTCCCGCATTTCCTGCCTCACCGTCTCCGACTGAATCACCGGAGGAGCCAATGCAGATGTTGTTTGTCTTCCACAACGAATGAATCTTCCACGGCGGTTGTGTGGTTCAAGCAAGACCTTCGTGTTGATGATCACCCTGGCCTAATCGCCGCGTCCAAACACAGAGAAGTCATACCTCTTTACGTCCTTGATCGTCGCATTCTCTCGCGTAAGTTATTAGCTGATGATTCTCTGCTTCGTTTTAGCTATTAGCACTCAGTTTCCAAGTGTTCTGGTTACCTAATCCAACAGTTTTATCTGTAGGATACACAACGGAGACTCTAGAGCTAGCTATTATAGCATTGGAAGAGTTGAGAAGTTCCTTGAAGAAGCAAGGTTCAGATCTTATGCTTAGATACGGTAATGCAGAGAATGTTATAGAAGATCTTGTCAAAGAGGTAACTTCACTGGTTTGAAAGTTTCAATGAGCATTTTTTTTCACAGTTTTCAGACAAGATAACTAGTATTAGTTACAGTGAGAAAAGTACTTGATGAATTGTAACAGGTGCAAGAGCCCTTTGTTTTTGCTGAAGAAGAGGTAGAACACCATCTTTGTGAGGTCTTGGAAGATGTTAAGAAGAAAATTGATGGCGATTCGTTTCCTGGAGAATCACCGAGGGTTGTTTTGTGGAGGACTCCTTTTTATGAGACTCAAGTAATGTAATTGCTTCCCTCTGCAATGTTAGATTGGAAAGTGTAGTTACTTATCTGACATGTTTTTGGTCCTCTTAGAGTTTGTCGGATCTGCCACATTCTTGGGAAGAGTTTAAGAAACTAAAGCTTCCTGTAACTGTGCCAGTTCCTGCACCAAGATTACGATCTCCAGAAAGTGAATTGCAGTGGGGTATAAACTTTTCTCTTGCTTAAGTAATTTCTTGATAATCTGATTTGTAACTGGGAAAATTGTAAATGAAACATGCTTCAGGTTCTGTGCCAACACTTGATGACCTGAAGGACTATATGAAGGAAAGCTTATGCGAAAAAGAAAAGAGCTGGAGGGAAATAGCACATGCATCTGCAGAAAGAATATTAATGAAAAGGAACTTGAAAGGGAACAATATGGAGCCAAATGTTGATGGATTTTTAGGGAAGAAGGTGCAGAACTCTGCTTTTATCACGACAAATAGAGATACTATTGGAGGTGGAACTGAGGCTGTACTGAATGGATTAGCAGGATACTTGAGGTACTTGGAGGGTACAAGTAGAGATGACTGGCAAGAGTATGTGTTCTTCATTAATTTTAATGCTGTTTTCCTTTTGGTTAAATCTTATGTGTTGTTGAAGAGTGATTGGCGTTGGTTTTTGATACTGACTAGGGTTCATGCAAGGCTACGTGATGCTGAGATTAGGCCAGGAGCTTCATTTTTCAAACTTTTTGGACCTGCTCTCTGTCTTGGTATTGTATCCAGAAGAAGGGTTCACTCTGAAGCAATAGAGTATGAAAAAGAAAGGAATGCTGGGTTTATTTCTCCTTTTGGATACTCAGCTTCTACAGTATCTGCTGCTGCTGATGCTGTGTGCTCTATGGAGGTACAAAGAGTCACATGCCTTCTGCTTTTATACTCTTTTCAATATTATTGAAGATGTTTGATCTTATCTTTTGGCAGTGGTATTCACTTATGGCTCTAAATAAAGAGATGACTGATGATAAAAGGATTTGGAGATGGAAGGGCCATCTTATTCAGGTTTCTGATCATTTACTCATACAAATCCTATGGCCTTTATTGGTCATTTTTGTAATTGCACTTCCTTGTTTTAGTACACAGTGGTTGGTAATGAAGGCCCTGCTGTTCTCCTTGTGCATGGATTTGGTGCTTTTCTAGAGCATTACCGTGACAATGTAGACAACATAGTAAACAGCAAAAACCGAGTATGGACCATCACAGTCTTGGGTTTTGGAAAATCAGAGAAGCCAAACATCATTTACACTGAGCTTTTATGGTCAGAATTGCTGCGGGATTTTATGATTGAAGTGGTTGGTGAACCAGCACATTGCGTTGGGAACTCAATCGGTGGTATGTACCCCCTTAGTAACTGAACTCTAGTGTTAAGGGAACAAATGTTTTGTGATTCTCATCTAGTTGTGTCCTTATGTTTTACCTTTGCCAGGTTACTTCGTTTCATTAATGGCATTTCTTTGGCCAGACTTGGTTAAGTCTGTTGTCCTTGTTAACAGTGCTGGCAATGTGATACCTGGTTACTCTCCTCTCCCAAAATCTATAGTATGTAACATTTGAGTGAATATCTAGCTGACGAGTTTTGGCTCAGGAACATAAGTTATTAAGTAATTATCTCACACAATTTACTGTTTTTTTCTCAGGAAAGGCGAGTTCCATTTGGTGCACCACTTGGTGCTAGACTTCTTATCTTGTTCTTACGGTTCAATGTCAAAAAGCTATTGAAGGATTGCTATCCAGTTGTAAGTAATATGAAGATCTTGACATCAGTAAAGAAAATATAGTTTCTCATAGTTATCTGGAGTACCCATTTGCTTGTTTGTGATGCAGAAACCTGAGAGAGCTGATGAGTTTTTGATCACAGAAATGCTAAGAGCAGTATCCTTCTTAGCATTTTGTTTGCATTAGTTTCTTTTTGTTCTAGAGGTAAATTGTTGATGATAGTGACATTTACCTTAACAAAACACAATAGTCCCAAGATCCAGGTGTGGTTATGGTCCTGGAAAGTATCTTTGGCTTTGATCTTTCACTTCCTTTGAATTATCTCCTCAAAGGGTTTGAGGAAAAAACTCTAGTAATACAGGTACCAAGATATCTGACATTTATTGGATCCTTATAACTTCTGTTAGGTATCAGATGATCATTATTTCATTAGTCTCATTGATGTGTCTAGGGAATGAAAGATCCCATATCTGATCCGCGAAAGAAAGTGGCCTTATTGAAGGAGTTCTGTCCAGGAATGGTGATTAAACAAGTCAATGCAGGTAAATCAACTAACTTCTAAATAACACTAACTACATTCTTCTTTGACTCGTCAAGTTTGAATTGCAAGTACAGGTCACTGTCCCCACGATGAGATCCCAGAGGAGGTGAATTATATCATCTGTGAATGGATTGCCAATGTTAACAACGATGAACAAGAAGCACTTAAAAGCCTCATCGCAGCAGACTTGCCACAGTAAACAAAATTAAGGATTTGGTGAGCAGAAAGCAATTTCATTGTGGTGATAATAAGACATTAGAATGCAAACTAATTCCTACATGTAATCAAAAGATGCATGACTAGTTTAAAAGCAATACAAAGGAACCATTACTAAGAAAGAAAAAGTGAGAAAAGAGAAGATGGACCAAAGTGATTTGTGGCATAACTCATGCCACACTACACATAAGATTTGCATTCATAAGTTACAATTTTAGCATTCTTCTAACTGTAGGAGAGACCGTTGAGCATCAGCATGATTAGTCATCCTCCAATAACTATTTAGAGGGGCCTTCGTGGCCCAATACACAAAAAGGTGACTTGTTTGTTCATAGAGAAAAGATTCACGTGAGTGTGAACGCATCCGATTGGTTAGCTGTTAGAAGTGATTTTTAATGTCTATAGATCCTCGTGGGATGTCTTTTTGCAAGATTTGACTTGAAAAACCAGCGTCAGATTATACCTTTTCAGCTGCATTGTTCAATTGAAAAACCATATATAAATATCTCGTGACCAATATGGCTTAGTAACATGGGTTTAGTCATTCCTCACGTGGTTATGGACCCACCACTTGCATATGTAGAAAGCTAGGTTCCAAAATGTTGTCTAAGATAATGTGATGTAATAAAAACACTGTAGGTGAAGACAAACTGTTCCAGCTTATCCTCTCTTATTGATACCCTCATTGCTTCACATTTATTAACTTTTCAACTAACTCCAGTTTTTGCTCTAGATTTTTTTTTAATTTTTTTGTGTCTGGAACATTCTTTAAGCCTCTCTCACTATAAATCCCTGAACTCTTTTGCTGCTACTCTCATTTTTAGCTGTTAAATAAAACCCAAAATGGCGAAACGTTTAGATCTTTCTCTGGTTCTCTTTGTTCTGTATGTGTCCACTGCAGCAATAGCAATGGCAAGAAACCTTGGAGAGGAAACTAATGAAGATACAGAGTTCATTAAAGCCTCTTGTGAGACAGCAACGTACCCGGAACTATGTTTTGAGTCTCTGTCTTCATACGCAAGCGAGATCAAGAAACGACCACTTCAGCTCGCCGAGACAGCGCTTGTCGTCAGCATGGCACGAGCAAAATCAGCCAAAAACTATATCTCCGACATGACTGACTTCAAAGGAATCACAAAGAGGCAGCACGAGGCTGTGTTGGACTGTGTTGAAGAGATGGGAGATACGGTTGATAGGTTGGGCAAGTCGTTGAAGGAGTTGAAGAATCTGGAGGATGGAGAAAGCAAAGAAGACTTCTGGTTCTGTTTGAGTAATGTCAGGACGTGGACAAGTGCGGCGTTGACGGATGAGACCACGTGTCTTGATGGGTTTGGGGGGAAAGGCATGGATGGGGAGCTGAAAAGCTTGGTCAGAGCACACATTGTGCGTGTGGCGCAAGATACGAGTAATGCCTTGGCTTTGATCAATGGCTTTGCTTCCAAGCATTGAAAAATATTGCAAAGGTTTTGGTCTTTGGGGACTTGAGTGTTGTAATTTTGGATTTGGTATTGTGTTTTCAAGAATGGTGTGTTTGGTTTGGTTCTTGAGTCGTATCATTTTCTCTTGCCACATTGTTATATCATCTACGGTCTATATAGTTTGAAGCTGTTTATTTTGATGTTTGATATTATATAGTTTTGTAAGCCATGATGAGTATTTTGCACTCTTGTCTTTAAAACCTCTCAGGTTATCTTTGATATTCATTCATCTGAGTTAGTGATAGAGTAGAGCTTATAGGCATGAAGTTCTCAAGTGTTTAGCCCAACAGTGTCCTCGAAAAGAGAAAAGAAAACTTGAATAACGATCTGACCTTAAAAGAAGAAAACGGCACAAACCTACATAAAGCTTGTCGAGTTATAAGTTAACAGAGTAGCTTTATAAAAGTTTTTGGACAGTGAATTATATAAAAAGAAGTTTTATAGGCCATGAAGAGCGCAAATTTTGTCGGGATTCTGAGATGGATAGCTCAAGCCTCCAAGATGTCAGAGTTTGATAGACTCTATGATCGATTCAATGTTCCTTAAACACAGAATCGTAGCTCACAAGTAAAAGATCCAAATGGAAGAAAGAATTTAAAACTCAATGAAGCAACAATGATATACTTGTATTCGAGTTTAGAAAGTAGAATGAGATTACAAAAAATGATTTCTGAATGAATCAAAAGAAACTGAACTACTACGTTTAATACTCTGCCTTTATCAGAAAATGAACTTAACCAATCACCAACTGACACCTGTCATCTCCTGTTAAACCGTTGTATGCTTCCTAACAAACTCCCTTTTCCACTTATCTCCTTTAATTTTTTTTCTTTAAGATCTTTCACATGGGGTGCTATGGTTAATCATGCTCTAAGTTCTATGGAACGATCAGATTATTTTTAGGGGGGGAGAGGTATCTACCAATAAGATCTTTCAACTTTGGATCAACTACCTCAATCAGTTTCTTTTTCTCCCAGTAGCTCCATACCAATCAAGTCAATGTGGGTCGTTGACTCCACGTGATTTCTCCTTACGATTTACTTGATTCCCAAAGTTGTACGTACGTAGTCAGCCAAGGATAAAATAGGAAGCCTACACACAGCTTAGACCGGGCTACTGCCAAGCCAAAGTTGTACGTAGTCAGCTGTGGAATTGTCTCCATTCCCTTGTCTGAGAACCACCATTTCCAAGGAACTGCCAAGCCGGTATATCTTAATGAAAGACTTGAGCCTAACTGCCAATTGGACGAATCATGTCTTCTCTGAGATAGGGTTTCTAGTTTTCTTGATATGTCTTTCATTGCTTGCAATTAAATGTTTAGAAACTTTTGGCATGTAAGTTATAAGACTCATGTTTGCAGATAATTAGGAGAATCTATGAGATCATTCCTCCTAATGGAAAAGGTCCTAAGGTCAACGCAATGGCTCAACTGGAACCGTTCATCATTAGATATGTAATACGAATCCTTTTTTTTTAGAAAAGGAATAAATGTAATACAAAACCTTCTAACATGTTAATATATAATCAAAGCCTCTGTACTACTATATATACTAGCTGCATAACCCCCGCGCAAGCGCGGGGCCGGGATCTGTATTTTTTTTCGGTTGTTGGTTTAGTGGGTTATTCTAATAATACCTAATAATTATGAAATAGAAAGAATGTAGCAAGAGTGTAAAGTGAAAATATTGTATATGTAATGTGTTAAATGTTATTTATATGCGAAATAAGGTTTATAGGAATAACTAAATTATAATATAGTTTTTAGTGTATAAAAATAGGTGTCTATATTGTTTTTTTAGGTTGGAAATAGTTTTTATGTCGGATGTCAAAACTTGATATAAATATATATTTATAGTATTTATATTTGTATTAAACGATTTATCAATATGAAAATAACTTTAATTTAAGCTAATATTTGTTGTTTGGGTTTTAATAGATAGGTTTGGATATGTTTTTTTGTAAGTTTGGATTTTGTTCATGAATAATGTGGTATTTTTCTTTACGGCGTCATCGACTGTGGAAATCCATCCGCCGGAGTCTGATAAAAATGAAATTATAGTAACTATTAAAAATTGAAGAGAAATTACATAGAAATTATATATTAGGACATGACAGTGCCACGTGAGACTCGTTTTTTTTTTCTTTTTCTTTTTTGGCTGTTCGTTTTTTGATCTATTTTTAATTGTTTTTGGGTTTGAGTTCGTCAAACTTTAGGATTTTTTCACTATTTTGGGCTTTAAACAATAAGTCCAGAGGAAAAAAACAGAAAAACATTAAAACTAAAAAGCCCATATGATAATAATCCAAACGAAAAAACTAAAATCTATATTATAATAGTTCACTTCTAATGCTCCTAAAGCTGTCCACGTCAGCAAGTTTGTGGGCCCCACACGTTTAGATTTTAGAAGCTTTTAAAATGACTATGAACAATGAATACACTTTAGCAAAGTGGTAAAAAGTTTCTAAATAAACCTGCAAGTGTATGGGTTCAAACCGCACAACTGTTATGTATTTTAGTGTTTTCATTGTTCATAGTCATTTTAAAAGCTTCTAAAATCTAAACGTGTGGGGCCCATAAACTTGCTGACGTGGACAGCTTTAGGAGCATTAGAAGTGAATCATTATAATATAGATTATTTGGAATTTTGATATAAATCGAGTTTTCTAATCCAGTAGTTAAAATGCATTTTCTTAGTTCGTGTGACTGTGGTCAAATGGTAGCGGAGATTTAGAAATGTGTTACAACAGTCCTCCGGTGTGCCAGACTTCCTTGAGACAAAGTTGCATCCATATGAAAAGTTTGGGTTTGGATGCATATAGTTTACAAGAGATCCGAATACTCTTAAGACTGCCATATAACAATATAATACGTTTGAGACTGCCACAGGCCCACATGTGAACACACGAATGAAGTACCAAAACTTCTAAACATATATCGAATGCACATTGTGAAAAAATACATGTCAAGTAATTGTAAAACGTAGGGGTGGCACAATCCGAGTACTTTTTCGGTATATTTAGTACTCGGCTTGGTTTATACGAGTATTCAAATTTTGGATTTGTACTTGTCTTGTTTTATTACTTGTTATTTGTAAATTTCTTTTACAAATTACTTGATAACTATTGGTAAATTATTTGATCTTAAAGATAAATAAATTTGTTATATCTAAATAATATGTCATTGTTTTCATTTTGTCATTTTTTTTATGGTTTTTAATCATTCGTGAAAGAGATTATATTAAGAAAGAAAAAAAATCCAAAATGTTTATAATATAAATGTCACATATGTTTGATTCATTTATAAAAATTGAAATATAAACGAGTTGTTTTACTATGACTTAGGAAAATATATATTTGTTCATTAACAAAAACGAATAATAAACCAAACAACGCTGAATAATTAGTTTTATTTTATTATTTTGTATATGAAGGCAGTTTAAATAGAAATACTTGATACACATCTTAGTTAAAACAAGTACTTGGTTTTAAGAGTCGTGTATCAACCAAGTAGTGAACATGAGGCAATTAACAAGTAATTGTGGCCACTCATAAAATACATTAAGTTTAATAAATTAATGAAATATATACTAAGTATTTAATAAATCAAGTAACATATGACAAGGAACAAGTAAAGGATAACAAGTAATTAACCAAGTAATAAATCAAGTAGTTAAAAATTAAAATGGATTTGATACTTGACTTGTATTTGCGAGTAATAAAATCCGTTTACTTGTTACTCAATTTGATTGGAGCAAGTACTTGTTTTTTCAAACCAAATCGAGTCAATTAGCGAGTACAAGCTGAGTATCAAGCATTTGTACCCAGCCCTAGAAAAACGTTACACATGCATAAGCATTGTGAATACAAGGAATTTATTTGATTGCCATTATGACATAGAAAGGAAACGAGAACGTACACATCAGGCCCGTCTCTAGGGGTGTGCCCAAGATGCATTTGCTTGGTTGAATGTAATGGTTCATTTTATTAATGTAGATAATTGGTAATAAGACCCAAACTAGTGCTTGTAATCTTTGAAAAATCAGAAACAACCGTATTGACAAGTGATGAAGTTGAATATAATGGTTCATTTTATTAATGTAGATAATTGGTTATAAGACCCAAACTATTGCTTGTAATCTTTGAAAAATCAGAAACAACCGTATTGACCTTCTTCTTCGTCTGCTCATTTTATTCCCCTTCCTCGAAATTGTCCGTACACGTAGTTGTCGTCGATCAACGCCGCACTCACCCAAGTCTTCATGTTATTCAGATGCTTCTCCTTTGAGACTCCTCCACCGATTAGATTCTTCATATCGGAAATGGATTGGTTGAGCTCGTCGATAACGTCTTTCATCTCGTCCATGCAAGCCTTTAGCCTTTTTGAGAAGGTTAGAGACAACCATCGTGGCGTATTTGGCGTATTTGAGGTTGACGTTGAGGGATGTTGTGCAGAGTTTGATTGGGTCGGCTTTGATGGTGGAGGAGTATGAGGACAATGAATTGTAGCATATTGTAGGATATGTTGTAGAGTTGCATACAGTTTTTACGAACGTTGTGTAGTTTTGGTATGTGGTGGGTGGAGTTGCTGCTGTTTTCGGGATGTTTAATGAGTTGATGAGTGTAACGAGAGTTAGGGAAAGTACTGTATCACGAAACGCAACATTTTCCTCATGTTAAGGGTTTTGTTCTTCTTTCTTGTTTGGGAGAATACATATGCTAACTTTTTGGTGAGTAGTGAAACTATGCAGTATGTTGTATATTTATATAAGATTGGATTATGATTGTATTTCAGTTATTTAGGAAATGATTCATAATATTGTTGCAAGTGGGTTTCATTCCTTCGGGGCAATTATGATTCAGAAAAGCTAACTGAAAGTTCTTCACAAAAATTTACGTAGATCTAATCCATTTGTTTTAGTCAAAGTCTTGGTCAATTATCTATAATAGTCATTAATGTGAATTTTTTAACACCGTTTAATTTCAAGCCATGACGATAATGCGATGGGTACAAGATAACATCTTCAGCAAGAACGAAAGATGACACAGTCTTGTAGCATGTTTGCCATACATATCAAAGATCCAAAATTTAGGGGACAAATTGTTAAAACATAAGCTTGTACATTTGAAACTGATTGGTTCTTCTTTTATATACAATAGCGGCTTGAAAAGTATATAGTTTATCAATATTTGTCTGGAAAAATCAACTCCCACCAATTCTGACCTATAATATCCTAATAGTGACCATCACCTTACTAAATGGATAGAGAAAACAACATGCCACCGAAAACTTGCAAGAGATTGAACAAATCGACAAAATCCTCGCTACACAAGATACCGAATTAACGACAAAACTCCACCTAGAGCCATCAAATCTCAAAGAATACACCATGCAAAACGAGGATATTGGGGACTAAAACCATTTTCCCACACAAGGGCTGATTATGGAGTCACCAACACCATGCACCGCTACTGAGTTGATGCTTTGCGTGGTGGAGTTGGCAATTTCTTCGAGCTCAAGGTGAGCTTTCTTTGTGTTTGTATGATCAAACATTTTGTGTTATTGGTGGGTGTTAGACATTGATGTATTTGGTGAAATACTTTTATAAATGTGGATGATTAAAGTTTAGACTAAGGAGAAATATAGCTCAAGATTAGAAGATCATGATAAAGTTTGAATTCTGGTTAGAGTTTAGTTCAAGATTAGTTTACCTAAAATAGTATTTGTATAAAATAGTAGTAATTCAAAAAGATTGTTTGTTTTACACGTTTATGAATTAGTGTAATTTTTTTTATTCTAATTGTTTGAGGTGAATATGGTTCAAGAACAATATAAAGAGTGAGATGGGGCGAACAAAGACGTTCTTTTATTAGATCTGAACAAGAGGTTACAAGGAGGTAAGTAAAGAGACGAACTAGCCAGAGCTCGGAGAGCTGACCGAAGAAATACAGAGCGGTGAGTATCTATGAACGTAAGGTAACCCTAAATCTAGCCACCTAGAATCTATGAAAGTCGGGAAACCCTAGATTTAGCCGCCTAGTATGTTTGTCGAAGTGTGGATCCCCTTTCTAGCTGCTGTCTCTCTCCTTTTATAGACCTTGTCTTACTGTTCGCCCTAGTTTATCTGAATTTTGTTGAACTTCATTTTTCTTTGGGCCTGTTTAATAGCCCGGATAAAGCGTCCGTCTACTGACTTCTCTGAAATGTTTTAGCCGATCTACTAGAAGCGCCACGAAGCCGAACTGTTCTTAGGTGTCTATTGAACCGAGTAGATCGTCACATCAGACTAAGCTTTTTCATTTGATGGGCCTTGTGGAGGGGTGCAATCCATCTCCTACACTAATGGATACGAAATTGGACGAGATCTAATGGATGTAGAAAACAACTCTCGTAACAATATTCAAGAAGCTTTTTGGTGTCCAAATAAAATTAGAAGATGAATACATACTTCATTCCGGTGTTTAAGAAAGGTGGCACGTGATGTGAATCATATGATGGCATGTAATATGGTTGTGAATCATATTTTCTGTAATTATTATAAGCAAGACAGATCAACGATCATTTTTGTACGAGAAATGATATTCGAATTGATCTGATGCATGATTTGAAATACAATATATTTGCTGGAATTTGCACGTAGTTTAATAATTAAAGTTGATACGTATTACTTATTTTTTAGTGGTGCCGACTCTTAATTTGATTTTGGTAGTTTTTGTTTACGAAATCTTCATTTTATTGTAGATTCACTTTCTTATACAGGAGCCCTAGCAGCATAGCAGCTTGTCTATATATCCAAACTTTATTTTCCACAAGAGGGCAATGAACCGAAGTATACACTAGAGCCTCCTCTTCTCTATATGCACAACGCCTTCTATTTACAGCGGGTATACTATTTTTACACAAATTATCATCGCATCTGGAGAAGATTGTTCACTGTAACAGCAACAGAGTTTGTTCTCTGCAAGTCCTGCAAACAAAAATTGAATCAACTCACCAGAATCCTTGGACTTAAAAAAGATCAATCATAGAGAATACCCAATATGCACTTAAGAGTTACCTGGAAAATAATTTCATCAGGCACATGTGGCATGACTTCCCTCACTGTCTCGGCCATTGCTAGTATATTTGCCAAGCTTTCATTTCTCCCACTTGATACAGTTCTTAGACGCAGACCACGTGTCATTCCACCAGTATCTTGAGGTACTGTTGTAGCAGAAGTGGATGCTTGTGAAGGGTTCATTGGCCATAGACTCCAAGAAGTATCCTCAAGTGCAGTTTGAGCATAACTTTCCCCAACAGATGCAAAATGCCTCATCATCATCTGAACCCGCCCTAGTCCAACAGACCTAGACGCGGTAGAGGGACCAGCTACATCAACACCCTGATCTGACCATGTCTGCAGCCAGCTTGAATCTAATCCTAAGTTCCTATTTTGTAATAGAAGATTGACAATTTATACAATCCTAAGATCATTAAGTAATAAGCAAATTATTACTTTGATTTAGTTAGTAAGTAAATGAACTGAACCTAGAAGGATCACTTTCAGTGGAGTTTGGTATCTCAGGAAACAATCCAGTGGCTAGTGGATGCGCAGGAATGTTTTGTCTTTGAAGCTGACGGGCTAACTGTTCATCACTTGAGACTTCCACCATGCGAGGGTTCACCTCAGTTTCAGTTCTACCAACAAAGAGAGGTTTACGACATGTAGGACAAGAATAAACCTCATTTAGACCTTGATCCAACCTGCCACCATCAAACCATCATCATCAGGACCAGTAGTTTCAGTCATAAAACACTAAAACCTGTCGGTATCTAGCTAAGCGCACCAGGATCGCAAGCATCCAAGATGGAAAAGGTGGTTGCAGTGAAGCCTTTTAGCTTTAGCCATAGGTTCCTGCCATTCATAACGTATCAAAGAGTTTGAGGTATTGAAAAGGTATAGAAGATAACTCTATAGCAGAAGCATACCCGGCATATAGCACATTCATCATCATATGCTTGTAACTCTTCAGAAGTTGCATCAGGAAGAGCTCCATGGAGAGAGCCTAGAGCTATTCTCAGTTTGATGTATCCTTTCATTCGTTTCAAAATTGCACTCAGCAATGCCTGCCAAACAAAACAAAAAAAAAACAGGTAAAGGATACAACAAGATGCTGTGTGCCTAGTGCTAAGTAGCAGTAAGGGCGACACTAGTTTAAATAAAGTCAACTAACAAACTTACACGTATGTTGATAAACAAAACTGCATCCATTAAATGAAAGGCAAGGCCGTACAGCCACCAGATGTACAAATAATGACCTAGTGCCATTACCAAAGTAGCCATGTCCAGGAAGAAACCAAGGTTTCGGTTGAGGAGTCCTTTCCATTCCAATAATGAGCCTATCCAAAACAGGTAAGAGTTTACCATGAGATGTGGAAACATGGAATGCATTCCCGGGTTAAAAGAAAAGACCTGCTGTCATGGAATCGAGAAACTTGGATCTTTGGCAGTCCGAGTTCTTCACTGCTAAGTGGTTGATCCACAAATCAAGCAGTTGAAACCCATGAATTAACAGCGCCTGCAAAATAATCCGATCAGCTCTCTATTTTGTTGACCATGGCTACAAAAGAAAGACAACTACTAGTACTTCAGTACCTGCAAAGTCTCAAAAGCTATACTGCATGGCTCAAAAAGTAACAACAGATACACAGAAGAGCCAGTTGTATTGTATGTCATAAGGGAAAGCTTTATCCTGCAAAACAGGAGAAAAAGGTATTATTGAAATTATCATTCAGACATAAACGGTAACATTACTCAAGAGTGTTAACCATGTAGATTAATATTTGACAACATACCACAACATGTCAACAGAGAGAACCAAGAACAGCACTGAATACACACGAAAGTAAGTCCAAGGTGTAGAAGAAGGAGATGCATTCAATCGATCAAGCCGGTCTCTAGCCAAAGCTTGAAACATCTAAATGACATTACAAGATTTACATTAGGAGGGTATCTAGATAAGACGTAGTTCAAGAACGCCAATGTTTTCAACAAACAGCCTTAACATACCTTTAAAGTGCATAGAAGAGTCAGCCACACTGTCCACAGTACACCCTGAAATATTGTTGCGGGAATCACCAGCGGCAGAAATATACCCTAGAAGGAAAGGAGAATTCAATCTATTGACCCTTAGAATACATACATTTTATGCATACAACTCAAATTACGGAAGCAGTAAACAAAGATGCAAAATTATCTCTCTAAGAAAAGACCTCTCTTAAGCATATGTAAACCTCGCTAAGTATATTCAGTATATTTTTCCTTCAGCTGTTATCGTATAGAAAAACACCAAGAATCTCACACAAAACACCAGAATGAAGGTTAGTTTTCAGTAAAAGGAAGAACAGATACCTTGTAAATGATGTAATTGGCAAGTCGCTCCACCAACTTTTTAGTTTCAACTCCATATAAATCTCCAAAAAATAAACTCTGCAGAAGACGCATAAAAGACATATTATAACCAGATAAAATAACAAAAGACATTACCATAAAAAACTAAAGTTACTAAATAATCCGTAAGCCTGTGCTCATTACTACAGTAACGAACAGCATGAAGCCGTATCTTCTTGAGTTTTCTCTCACGCAAGACATTGAATAACCGGAAACGAGATTTTGACTCTTACAAGTGCTTTACTCGCAGGTGTAAACTAATTAAATATTTCCACTTGTAACTAAACTAAGAACTGTATATTGGACTCTCTACAACAGAAGTGGCGAGGAGTCGATACTTTTAGAGCATTAGAATAGTTATTAGTAACAAATATGAGACACCTAAGTAGCAGTGACTAATATTAGATTAAGAGGCAAACATGCTCAGTTTAAAATATATAAGGAAGTTTACGAAAGCTAAAAAAAAAGTAAAAACATAGCTTATACTGAATAAGCAGTGTAAAGATGTTACTCTTACCTTGAGAGAAAGTAGCAGAAGAATATACACATTGAGCACAAAATTTATCAGCAGCGCAATTGTAAAGTAAGAACTCAAGAGCAGCTCAAGGGTATGCTCGAAGTCTCCTAAAGAAATGTTCTTGGCTATTATCACCCCATCTGCTCTAAGACTATCCAGAGACAGCTCTGTCCAGACTTGAAGCCCTACAAAGCTAAGAGCTGTTGATGCCACCGAGAGATGCAAGTACCTCATCCCCATTAGGAACTATAACAGCTTCGCCAGAATCTCAAATTAGTTACATTAGCATGATACCATCTGCAGCAAGTAACAACATGATCTCTCATCATTATCTAACTTGGACAAGACAAACAAACTGAAAATGGAGCAGTATTTCAAAAGTTCAAAGAAAATATACAATTTACGAAACTAAATTGACAATTTACATCAGCAAGACAGAAACTTTGGCAGAAAATTGAGGGTGAAACCAATAAAAATGGATTCTTTCAAATTAGATGCATAAGGAGACTCTAGAGAAGAGAAGTCACAGCAACGAAAAAGATATGATCCAACATTGAAACCCATTAAGAAACATCAATTTTAATATTAAAAAAAATAGAAGAAACTGGAAATAAGAAATTGAAGGACACATAGACAGGAGATTCAATGCAGAAAGCAAGCAAGACAAGAGATCATAGTGTTCTACAAATCAATCAAATCAGAACAAAAACCTTGATTCTGAGAAGCTGTTTGGTTGGATATTCTCTTTAGAACAGGCCTCTCAGCATCTCTCTCTATTCTTCTTCTTACAAGAACAAAATCACTCTCTCTTCTTACACAAAAGCAATACGGTCAAACACTGACTTTTTGGGGTTAATTTTCACTTTTCCAACATACGAAGTTATTTAGAACATAAATAAGAAAAGGATTTTTAATTTTTAATCATGTATGGTTTTGGTGTGAAACCAAAAGCTCTACTTATATTGTTTTCTCAACATTATTGTTGCTAAGCTAAGAATTTTTAATTCTTTTTTGGGAACTTTTGTTAATTGCTAAGCAAAGATTAATTTCATTTATTTTCTAAAGAATTCAATGAAATCTGATTTGACACCTGAACAGATTAATTTGACCCAATTAACCAATCACAAGTCATTAAGTTTTTTTTTAATAATTTTTTGACGTCGAGGTTTCTAAAGTTAACAACCAACGCAAGCCCATTTAAGTTAAAACTGTATTTGGGCCGAGTAAACTAAAGGCCCATTAATTGATTCTCGATCGTTCCTTCGACTCTATATTCCAGAAATCTCAAAGATCTTCTTCGCCACGCTAATCTCCGATTGATTAATCTCGCCAATAATCAAAAACCCTAATTTCTCCGATCTAACTTCACGCCGGAATCGGGGAAGAAGAAGAAGAAGAAGAAGATGGGGATAATAAGGAGCAGCTTCACATTCCTGACGGGAACAGTGTGCGGGATCTACATCGCTCAGAACTACAACGTTCCTAACATCAAGACCCTTGGTCGCTGCGCTGCTTCCACCGCTAAGCAACTCGAGGAGAAATATCGTAAACCTCCCAAGACCAAAGACGATGTCTAACAGATTCCACTTGCGCGATATCGTTCTTGTTAATTTTTTTTTTTTTCTTTTGACGGTTTTGTGTGTGGGATTAGAAATCCAGATATATTCGACAATCAATTAAGAAAAACAAATTAAAATTATTTTTTCTTAGATTGCTTTTCTTTTTTTTTTTTTGTAATTTGGTTTTCAAGATTTTGATCTGGTTCAGTACAGCTAGAGAACAAAGGTTATGTTAATGTCATACAAACTTTAGAAGCTTAGACTTTTGATCAATGTGATGATATCATTGCAGGTATCTTTGTACTAACTTCATAACCATATGTGATGTTCTGTTTTGCCTCATTTCTTCTCTAAGGCTATGATTGCTATTGATTTTTCAATAAAAATCTGTTGGTTTTGCTATTGTGTGAGATCAGACTCAGTGCAAAAACTATTAGAACAAGAAAATAGAATAGTATTCATCCCACATCAGGGTCTTATACCCAAACCAAAAATCCAACATAAAGGAATTAAAGAAAAATACTAAGATATGATTAGCTCCACAAGCTAAAATGAACAATTAAAACATGAATAGCTTCATCATCATGAAGAGGAGGAGGATGCATTGTTTTTGAATATCATCTTTGAAGAAAAAGTAGTATTTCAGGGTCTTATACCCAAACCAAGAGTCCAACATAAAGGAATAAAGAAGCTAAAATGAACAATTAAAAGTTTCAAACATCAATATGACTAATCATGAAGAGGAGGAGGATGCATTGTTTTTGAATATCATCTTTGCAGTATAGTCCACTAATGCAGTTCTCTGCAAACACAGCTCCATCTGCTTAGCCTTTAGCATCTTCACCTTCTCCTCCATCTCCCTCTTCTTCACTCCATCCTCAACCATATCCCAAACCCCACTTAAAGTAGCCTCATCCAAACCCAAAACACTCACATTCTCTGCCTTAAAGAACGTCGCCACCTCTCTACTCTCCACGACACGATGATTCCCCACAACACTCACTTTCACTTCTTTCTTGGGAGTAGACACTAACTCAACCTCTTTCGACATCTTCCTCTGTTTAGCAGGAAGAACACCATCACTCCCCCAAATCTTCCTCGACAACTCGAAAGCCTTCTGGTCAAGATCTTTGGCACAAGTGATCTTATCTTCAGTCTTCCCTTTCTTAAGCGAGTTCTTGACTATATTAACAAACTTCTTCTTACACCTCTGGAGCTTTGTAACAATCTGAGCCTTGGAGGCATTAAAGTCTATCAAAGTCTTGACGTATTCGCAGAAGGCGTCCATGTTCTCTGAAGGGTCTCCTTTAGTGGAAGTGAAGTCAAGAAAGCCTTGAAGCATTGCAATCTCGTCAGTCTCGCTGAAGAGTCTCTGAAACATTGAATTCTTCTTAACATCTTCATCTGTTTTTGTTGAAGTCTTCACTTGCTCATCAGTTGATGATGTCTTTGCCTTCTTCTTAGGCTCGTTATCGGCTTGCTTCAGAGAGCGTTTCGCTGTGGAGCTGCTTTCAGGTAGAGATGGGATTGGTTTGGTGACGACAGTGTTGAGAGGTTTAGTTTTGGTCGGAGGCTCGGAATCTGAATCGGATTCTGATTCGGATTCTCCTTCTTCGGAGTCGGATTCAGGCTTCTTTGTAGCAGCAGGAGGTTTCTGAGTGGGTTTGGATTGGACATCACCGGGTCCTTCATCTGAAGACGCGGATTCTTCTTCAGAAGAACCAGACTCTTCTTCTTCTTCTTCCTCTTCACTGGAAGAGGCAACAGGAGGGTTCTCGATCTTGTCCTTCGGCGCCATTAGACAGGAGTGTGGGAAATAGAGAGAGAGAGGGCTGAGACAAAGATCTGCGGTCTGAAAGATTCTTCTTCTTATTCTTCAGTTCTTGTTCTCTTTTAATCTGTCGCCGTCGCTTTTAGGTTTGTTGAGTTTAAGTATCGTTAGGATTTGGTTACAAAAGCTAATGGACCTTGTTGGCTTCGGCAAGGCCCATGTGACCAACCGTAACCTAATAAATAACATGTGGACTTTCGGTCCTGCGATAATCTACTCTATTAATCTATTCTATTAAAATAGAGTCATTCTTTTTATCTACTGATACAAGTTGTCATTTAAATTTGGACTCTTTCTAGAATGTTACAAATAATATAAGTCATATAATTGATTGAACCGTATTACTTAGTGGGTGTTATTAGTTTATGTATTTTAATAGATTTATAAATCTAAACAAAATTCAGTGTTATTGGTTCTATGATTTTAAAATCCAAGTTAAAATCAAGTGTTATTGGTTCCATGATTTATAAATTCTAATTCAAATCAGGTGTTATTCAATCATACGGATTCATTAATGGATTTGATTTTATCATGAATTTGAGTGGATTTGTGTGGATTTCTTTGTTAAAAACACAAGGACTAAAATCCGAAGGAAAACCCTCGGATTTGTAAGTACTAATTAAAATTCACATATTAGATTTGGAAATCAGTATATTTTGCTAAGATTTATAAATTCTATACAGATTTCTAAATCAGTCAAAATACATTAACCAATAACACCCTCTTAAATTAAACCAACACAATTAATGTAAAGAGACGACCTTAATGTAAACTACCTTCAAAATACGGCATCTATCTGTGTATACCAAAAACACATATTTTCTCCTACAAATATGGAATGTTCTAAAAGAATATATATCATCAAAATATGGAATATGGAAATCTACTAATTATACTTAAATTAAACCAGTGGTTATTTATGAAATATAGTCTTAGGCTTACTTTTATTTTTTGAATAAATTATATTGTTTGGTTTCTTGACTTAATATTAAGAAAAAACTCCAAAAACATTGAATAAACTATTATTATTTTCAGACCCAAAAGGTATTTAATATGTTTAACAAAACATATATATCTATTATTAATCATTTATTTAAATCATGTACTTTAAAACATGTTAATATTTTTTTTTCCAAATAACAATCACTATGTTTTGATAAATTTCAATGGTGACTTTTAAATAATTTATTGTTTTATTTTTCTTAAATAATTTACTGATTAAAAAAATGTTAAGCAAAACCAAAATCAAATCTAAAAACTAAAATCCAAAACCAAAAGTTGAAAACACATGTTATATTTTTTTTCTTTGTTTATTTACAAAAAAACTATTTCAAATTTTTTTAAAAAAAATTGTTATCATCTTTTCAGTTTTAAATTAGATGTTCGATTATTTGAGATTTGCTGTTGGTAATATTAGTTCAAACTAACTCACCGGGTTTAAAAATTAAAAACCCAAATCAAAAACTAAAAATGAAAAGTAGAAACTTAAAAACTAAAAACCAAAAACCAAAATCTAAAAATAAAAACTGAAACTAAAAACTAATGAAAAACAATCATCACCACAAATTTTGGTCATCTGATTTTATATCAAAATATTCTTTAAATTAAGACAAAACCCAATTATATAAATTTTTTATCACAAACAATTTTCGCGCTTTCAAGCGCGGGTCAAAATATAGTATATATTAATATAGAGTCATTCTTTTTATCTACTGATACAAGTTGTCATTAAATTTAGATTCTTTTTAGAGTGTTACAAATAATACAAGTCATATAGTTAATTAAACCGCATTACTTAAATTAAACCGATAGTTATTTATAGGATATAGTTTTGGCCTTACTTTTATTTTTAGAACAAATTATATGGTTTGGTTTTTGGGCTTAGTATTAAGGAAAAGCTCCAAAAAACATTGAATAAACTTTCCACCTTAATGGATAAAAAATCAGTTATTATTTTCAAGCCCAAAAGGTATTTAATATTTTTAAACAAAACAAAATTGTCTATTATTAGTCATTTATTTTAATCATGTACTTTAAAACATGTTAATGCATTTTTTTATTTTAAATAACAATCATTTTGTTTTGATAAATTTCAATGGTAATTTTTAAATAATTTATTGTTTTATTTCTCTTAAATAATTTACTGATTTAAAAAAAATGTAAAGCAAAACCAAAAAGCAAATCTAAAAACTAAAATCCAAAACCAAAAACAGAAAAACATGTTATATTTTTTTGCTTTTATTTATTTACAAAATAAACTATTGCAAATTTCTTTTAAAAAATTTTTGTTATCTTTTCAGTTTTAAATTAGATGTTCGATTATTTGAGATTTGTTTGTTAGTAATATCAGTTCAAACTAACTCAGCATGTCTAAAAATTAAAAACCCAAACCAAAAGCTGAAAATCAAAAATAAAAACTTAAAAACTAAAAACCAAAAACTTAAATCCAAAAATAAAAACTGAAACTAAAAACTAATGAATAACAATCATCACCACAAATTTTTGTGAACTGATTTTATCCCAAAACATTCTTTAAATTAAGACAAAATCCAATTACATAAATTTGTAATCATAAAAAAATTTCGCGCTTGAAAAGCGCGGATCAAAATCTAGTTAGAGTTAACGAATCCTTTTAACGGGTCCGATGGAACAATCACTGTGGTCTGTCTTGTTCTGTATACAAGATTACTATTAGTATTAGATTTTCATTTTCTTAACCATACAGATAAATTTAGCTTCATATGTGGATTAGTGGATTACATAAGCTGGATGTAGTGCTAGTCCTAACATTTTAGAAGATTATCTAAAAAATATTACTAATGATATAGATTTTCAAGCTATCTTTAAAGTAAAATGAAATATATCTTAACGATTCTTTAAAGGATAACTTAATTGTTTACCATTCAAAGTCAGTTTTACATAAATTTTATCTAATGTATGGTGTAAAATATAAATTTAAATAAATAACTAAATTTTGTTGGTGACCATTCAAAACCATTGTTTGGTTTATTTTGATTTAACTATTAGCCTCAAACAATAGAAAATGATAACTCTTTTGTCCGGGAACTATTTCTATTTTACATTTTACGGGACAAGCAGGACTTTATATATAGCTCTTTGGTTTATAGATAGATTTCTTATGTTTTGTGTCAGCAACGAATCTAAAGCTTCTCGGTTTTGTATGATACGATAAGCAGATATGAATGTCATTAGTTGACGAAGGTGCTAACTGCTAAATCAAAGTCGAATTGGTCTAATGATAAAAGGGTTGTGGCTAGTAACTACCGCCACTCAGATTCAATGGCGGGAAGCTGACATGCAATAGAACTAGAGCACAACTTAGCTAGAATCATCTAGTTCAAACTTTGTTTTTCAATGACTCCACCTGACTTGGAGTGTCCACTTACACAGTTATAGTTCTAAATTTCTTTTTACAAATTTTCTATTTTTCTTTAAAATCTCTAATGATATCCACGTTACAGTTATTAATAGCAACGAGCGTTGGCGAGCAGCAGGCAGCTATCAACCACCGGACGTGGGGAGTTCTATTCAGAAAGAGAATTTGTTCGTTTCACAATTTTAAAATAAAAGAAAATTTATTTGGAAATTGTTGCCGGTGTTGGATTAAGCTTGAAATAGCTTAAGCAACAAGCAACCTAATCCTAAGGTGTTATAGTTATCTATAAGGTGTTGTGTTTATCTTATAGGATTAGGATATATATGTTTGAGATAATCCTGGTGAGTCTAGGATATTTACGCCAATATATAAGGAGATGTTGGGGTGTGACATCCCATAAGATAGATTTGAGAGTTTAA